TCTTAAAATTGTCACTAATTGTGTTTAGGTAATTGTTCCAATTGAAATAAATATACAACAATGTAAATTGAACCTTAAAGCAATGTTTAAAGTGGTTTTCACAAAAAAATCGAGCTCAAATGTTCAAATGAGCGCACATTCGGTGAGGACATTTTTTTGTCGCTGATTGTGTATCTACTACTATTTTGATCGTTGGCGCATACTTATATCAAGTGTACAGGGGACACGTGAGATATGAACTAAAACAATTAACAAATATTACAAATGATTATGATAGAATTTATATTGTGCAAGAACGCGAACAGTAAATAGTTCTGCTCGCTTAAAGAATTTATCTTTATGGCAGCCATGAATGAATGTCACAAGGTAAATAAATCTATTTTCAACCGACTTCAAAAAGGAGGAGGTTCTCAATTCAACTGTATTTTTTTATGTTTGTTACCTCAGAACTCCGTCATTTCTTAACCGATTTGGACAATTTTTGTGTTGTTTGAAAGTGTATACTTCCAGATTGGTCCCGTTTAAATTTCAAAAAAATAAATACCACCCCTAAGGGTGGAAAAATAGCTAATGATGAATTTAACCTACTTCTAATTGTCATATTGACTTGAAACTTTGCAAGTGTTTCTATTTTCATTGATAGTACAGAGGTTCGGTATTGTTGACCTGATCTGATGGTAAGGCCAGAAGGTAGATAGGTGGAACTCTTCAACGGCTAATAGTAGATACTTTGCGTTTGGGCTTATTTTGTTTAATTTGACAAGCCTAACACGTTAGAATTCTTACTTTGCTACTACTGTCTACACTAAAAAGGGAAAAATAAAAACTTTTTAACAAAAAAATAAAAAACGACTTCAAACAAAAGCACTAAAAAGTAAAAAATAACTGATTGGTAGTTTTCATTTACTATACATACCTAATGAAATATTTTCGAAATCGGTGCCAGCCCATACAAAGCAAAGCACACCGACTTCGAAAATATTTGATTAGGTATGTATAGTAAACGAAAACTACCAATCAGTTATTTTTTACTTTTTAGTGCTTTTATTTGAAGTCGGTTTTTATTTTTTTGTTAAGTTTTTTTAAGTTTGAAATGTCATGAATGCTGGATCAAATTCTAAGAATTTACGTATAGGTACTCATTGTTCTTATTGGTCAGGCAGATAAATTACAACTTAAGTTTTTAGAATAATTGATATGAATAATCGCAGGTTACATAGAGTTAGTAATTATTTATGTGGACAATTAACATTACGTTTTTATTACTGGATCCCAGATAACATTCAAGAAGCTCATTGCTATATTTAGAAAGAATTTCGAATAATGGGAATCGCCTTTAAGTCATTTCGATATTAAAGAATTATTGTATTAAAAATTTTTTTTAGTTCACTTGAGTTTCTTTCGCCAGTTCTTTTCAGGCGACAAGGTAAAGAGGTGAGTACAGCCTGCCCCAGTAACTATTCTCCTGTGTAGAAACGGCTAGTCTATACTAATATTATAAAGAGGTAAAGTTTGTGAGTTTATGAATTGTGAGTTTCTGACGTTGTATGAGGTAATCTCTGGATCTACTGAACCGATTTAGACGAAATTTGGTAATAAGATAGTTTGAGACACTGGAAAGGACTTAGGTTACATTTTATGCCGGAAATCGTCCCATTCGTCGTGAAAATAGGCGGTGAAAGTTTGTACGGAGAACCAAACTAGGAACAAACCCGAGCGAAGCGAGGGTGAGTCGCTAGTGCTACATAAATACATAAGAGTGATGACATTGACATTGCTAATTGCAACTTTAAATCCATATAGTGACCTACTAACATGATTAAGGTACCACAAAACACCCAAAGTCTAATATGAAGACATTATTACTAATATAAAGTCTTATCTATTTAATACAATATATTTAATCTGCTGATAAGTTTATATGGATAATTACGGTCAAGAATCTGAATAATTAAACATAAATAATGACCTCCTGACCGAATTTCGGTCATAACGGCCAATCTCACTGAAACCAGCCAACAACCAATGAAGAGGACAACAACCGTTGATCAAACTTTACGGGATTGAATGAGTTGCATGGCAGTCATCAAACTCCGAGTAGTTGCTGAGAACTGAGAATCAAAATGCCAATATAGTAATGTGACAATTTATTACAAAAATGCACAATTATTAGGGTTTTGTAGCTTTATAATTTCGTCATGTCCAACTATCCATATGCCCCATTTTAGCCAATAGATGCCGAGCAACTTTTATTTAAAAATATATTCATTTTCTAACTAATTCATCAGTAGATACAGTATTATACTTAGAAGAGACGTCTATGTCTAAGACACTTTACAAACTGATCTTGGTAAATCTAAAGTCAAGGTTAAGGTGAAGAAAATTTTCATATTAAAATTAAACACCTATTACACCTGAAACGCCAATTTTCAATAAGCATACATTACAAAACATACATATTACATAACGACACGTTTGGCTCAGTTTGTAGTCAAATTCCTTTTAGTTTAGGACATTAATGCCCGATTTCACCAACAACCCATAAGCTACCACCTACGTACGTATGGGATCCCTAGCATAAAAGTTTCTCTTAACTAGCCCCTAAATTAAATTTCGTTTTACCATCGTCTTTAAGCCCATATTTCAAGCACCTAAATTTAGGGGCCTTTTAACATTCTAACTTCCCTAACTGTCGGTGAAACAGAAACTGTCCCCTAACAGCCTCCTAACCATGCTTAGGGGATCCCTTAAACTTAGGTGACGTTGGTGAAATCGGGCATAAGTTTAGTAATCAAAATCTCTCCAGTGGTTTTTCCGTGATGCGGTAACAGACAGACGAAAATTGTAAAAAAACTATAGATTCGGCCTCTGTATCGATAATAATGTCTTGTTTCAGATTCGGCTTAGTTAGAATTGTATGTATTTAAAGTTATATATGTGTAGTGCATCAACTATCTGGTGTCCATAACACAAGCAAGTGTGTTATTGTCCAAAAATATTATTTAAAACATCTCATCGCCAAGACATACTTCATACTACGTCGCTAATTTGTTATTTTTTTCTTGATAACAGTCTAACAGATAAATCGTGTACCTAGCTGCAATTGTGATCGCTAAACAATGAGCTGAGATAGACTTTATTATATACATATTGTACCTTCCACGGAAAATTTTTCTATTTCATATTCTACATTGTGTTATGTATAGTAAGTATTGTTAACGACATTCTCTAGAACCGATAGACCGATTTCGATGATTTTTTTTTTATTGGATAGGGTTTAACTCAAAGTTGGTCCCATTTAAATTTAAAAAAGAATTCACCACTAAGTGTACAAAATAGGGGATGATTGATTTTTCACCTACTGAATTTAAAAAAAATACTTTTCTATTACTGTGCCTGCACTAAAAAATGGAAAAATAAAACTTTAAAAATAAAATAAAACTAACTTCACTTTTTAAAAACTTTTTATAGAACGTCGAATGCATAATTAGTTTTTAAAATAAGGTGACAACCAAAAAAAAAGAACAGTTTCTTTGAGGACCGTCTGATACCATGAGTTTTTATGTTGTAGTTATTCGATGTTATAACCGACTTTATAAAAGGCGTAGGTTCTCTATTCGGGTATATTTACGTATATTACAATTACATATACGGAGTTAAAGGGCCAACTTTGATCATCCTTTACTTTATTGGTATTAATCGGTAATTTAGAAATTATAGTACAAAGATACCGCCCATTACTTGTACGACTAACGAACGGTTACAAGATATGGAATATGTTTTTATCAGTAAATCAAATAAAATCATAAATACATATAAACGTCTTAATTTTTTTAAATCCAGTTATACCTTACTAGGTTAACTAGAAATAGTCCTAACAATTCCTAAGTCCTTGCAAACTTGCCTCTGATGTCAGAAGACATATCTTTAAGGTACACCTGATAAATACCAAAACAGTAGCTTATCACGATAGTCGATACCTATAGTTAGTTCATGTTTATGGTCATATTTTATCCTTTACAAAAGATTTTTTGTGCATATCTTGAAACATAAAACTAGAAAATATATATCAAGATTACCCATTGTTTACATTGCCAAGGAAAATTGTCATGTTTGTAAAGGATAACTGACAACACTTTAAAATAGATTCAATTTATATCTTTCCTTATTATCTGTATTGACTATTGACACTTAGGCGCTACCTAAAGCAAATTTTGTTAAGCATTCTGTCTCTATTTGCCGCACACATTTAAAATATTATATTATAATACATATTATATAAATTATATCGAATTACTACTTTGACAGTGGTAGCGCAGTGGAAATGCGGTCGCTTGAAAAACTAATTGAAGCGAGTTCAAATCTTGAGTCTCACCTCCTACTCTACTCCTCTAATATTTTCATGTGCAAATCATTTCCAACATAATTATCAGTACGTGAGCGACCGAGCTTTACTCGGCGTTTTTTCGGAAAAGATATAAGAAATTCTTTTTTTTTCCAGAAAAATCACATAATATATACATCTATACTAATATTATAAACAGGTAAAGTTTGTCAGTTTGCACGGTTGTAGGAGGTAATCTCTGGATCTGTTGAAACGGTATAGATGAAATTTGGTAACAAGATAGTTTGAGACCCTGGGAAGAATATAGGATATTTTTATCCAGGAAATCATCCCATAAGGGGGTGAAAATGGGGATGAAAGTTTGTATGGGTAATCAACCCAGGGACGAACCTGAGCAAAGTGAGGGTGAGTCGCTAGTAGATAGATAAACCTAAAAAGCAAAACCTTATGTAAATACAAAATTTGATCCAAATCGTTAGAGCCATTTCCGAGATACACGAAATTAATTTATATAAATACAAGAATTTGAAAATGATTACCAATTGCTAATACGGTTAAGGAAAACGTCGTACACAGTACACATACTGTGGTACCTACACATAACACAGAATATACAAGTCGCTAGTTCTTATTATTATAAAATTGTGTAACTTACACTTTAACCTCTCAGTGGTGGGTCCCCGACAAGCTGCACTGAGGCCGCAGCACAGCTCCTTGAAGTCGATGTGCCCGTCCCTGTTCTCGTCGAAGGCCAGGAAGACGCCCTCGACGGCGGCGCGCGGCAGCGGCGGCGACAGCAGCGCGCGCATGCTGACCGCGTCCAGCTCGCCCGTCGCCGTCGAGTTGCGGAGCGACCAGAAGTACTTTTCCAACTCTATTATGTCCTGTGAAACAGATTTATGTTGCTAATGTTGTGTTTAAATACATATGTGCCTATATATTACGAGGGACCTTCCCTCTCTTTTCTCGGGTGCACCCTAAATGTCTAATAATAGCTAAAGTAAATCAGTAGCCATTTCTTCCGACTTCAATTAAAGTTATTATGATTTCTGACAGTAAACACATTTTTTATGAAATAAAAAATAGCTAAAAGTTAAATTCCTATTAGTGAAATAATATTTAGAAAAGGGTCAGTAGTTTCAGTGATTACCTCGTACATATCTACAAACTCAGAAACTGTATCTCTTTAGTTTTCCAGAGGATCAAAACATTATACTTACACCTTTTATGTGACATAGCCAGTACACTTCTTGTTCATTCAAAAAAATACAAACTTTTTCAAAGCTAAACACGCTGTATATAAGGTTATATCAAATGTTATTTCACCCAACAAACGACCTCCAAATACTATTTCATTAATAAGGAAGGTCACTAACGTAGCACATTATTACATTACACAAACAAAAAAATCAGCAGTACCTACTTCCACTGCATTTATTGAAAATTTTAAAAAATATGAAAATATGTAGGTATGTAAGCAGTTATTTCTAAAACATCCCACCTTTTGATGCCATATAATAAAATAAAAAAAATATGCAGTTATACATACATCTAATCCGCTAAAAATATCGAGTTAACGACGTATTAACTTATAAATTATAATAAAGCAATGTTTTTTTCCTTTTTTGGGAGATTTACTGAGATTTGACAATGAAGCGTGACTTCTGAGTGTGACTGATAAATAAATATTGTATGAATAATAATCTACAGGTACATAAAATAAAATTGTAACTAAGCCGAATTTGTACATTAAATATTTTTTGGAAAATCTTATTCAAATAAACATTATTATCGACACAGAGGCCGAATCTATACTTTTTTGAATTTTTGTCTGTCTGTCTGTTACCGCATCACAGAAAAACCACTGAAGGGATTTTGATAAAATTTCGTATGGCGATAGCTGGTTATTCGGATCAACATATAGGATACTTTTTACAAAAAACTCAAACACTGCAATGTAAGAGTATACTAATATATAAAACCATGAACGAATTAACCACTGGACCAGACATATAGGCGGACGTACCTTCACCGGTCATGTCAGTAACCAGGGTAATTTTAGCCTAGGTCGTTTGTTTTTTGTGTCAGTCTCAAGCACTTACTTGTCAACAAAACATCTCCCAAAAATGACTAAATGTTCTGTTAAATGGTGTAAAAACTATAACGGCGGAAGCAACACTATTTCTTTTCACTTGTCAATACAATATTTTATTACATTTATTGTTATTTATCACACAATTTAATTTAATGTAAAATAAAATGTCATATTATCCAACTATGTTAAATATAGTCGATATTTCTATGTATTGTTGACATCTGACAACCATCATAAACGGGCTGGATTATACCATTCAGAACAAATGACAAAACTGTCGAGTGAGTCCATTTGACATCGACTAGTGCTTGACAATGTCGAAAAATATATCGATATTTGACGAAATAACTGAACGAATTGTGTTATTTGTACAGTACAATAACATAAAATATTTTATCACAGTATCCTACAATCTGATGACAATAAATTTATAAAAATATTTTCTGAATCAAATAAAAATATAAATGCAAAAATTATAATTAGTATGTGTACTTATTTTTTTATTTTATTTTATACCACATTTATATACTTTGGAATATTATTTCAATGTAATAATAATAAAGATCATTTTATTTCAACACATAAATTACACAAAATCAAACAATAATGTTTTAGCACTAAGCTTCTGGGTTGGCGATTTGTAATAAAACACTTTACCACTTGCACTAATTATTTTACTTTCACGATCTAACACTCACTTTTTCACAATTTGCAATCACTTTTTCTTTTTCCTAATTTCACAAATGTTTATTAAGAACTGAGCAATATTAGGAAAGTATCACATTTTTATAACTACCCGAGACAATCAATTGCCAATTAAAATAGTTCAATAACAGAATCAACAAAATCACTTTATTTAATTAAATTAGCTTAATATTTTTTTAATCTTTACAAAATAATACTTATTATATATTAATGGAATATACACCCGATATTCATTTGTTCATTAACATTATTATAGGCCAACAGAATGTTGCCATCAAATCAAATTAAAAAATTAAAAAATAATTATTATTTGACACATTAGTATTGCCTCTTTAATTCATTTATTTTATTTATTATAATAAATACAGATATTTTAAATTAAAAGATGTAAAATATGATGACTATGCTAACCAATGTCTAAAATGTCATTCATTGGTTCATCGATATATGTATTTTATCGATTACGTTCAAGCACTAGAATTATTGTATTGTGTATCAGTGTTTATAATAATGTAATAAAATCTTTGTGTGTGTTATGCGTCACTTGGTTGAACTAGTTTTCATACATTTGTATTTTATGTCAGGTCCAGTCTCTAATTCGTCCATGTATAAAACCTAAGAATTTGGTTTTTGGTCATATGAACGCGGGCGGAGCCGCGGGCAATGCTAGTTCAAACATAAAACTCAAACCTTTTTTCACAAAAAAAAAAGTATGTAGCTTTTTACGGACAAGTGCGAGTCGGTCTCGCCCACCGAGGGTTCCGTACAAATTTGTAACAAATCTGTGTAACTTTAATTTTCAACTGTTTTCATTTTTTGGAATTTTTCCTTTATTTATGCTGTAAGACCTTATTTTTTGCCAAATTTCGTGATTCTAGGTCAACGGGAACTACTATAATAATAGGTTTTCGACCCAAAACCTATAGGGTACTTCCGGTTGACCTAGAATTGTGGATTTTGGTTAAAAGCAAGCTCTTACAGCACAAGTAAAGGGAAAATTCCGAAAAATAAAAAAAGTTGAAAATTAAGGTAAGTATTGGTACTTACAAGTTTTCGCGAAAATCTAAATTTGCCCATATCTTGTCGACTCAAGATCTTGATATTACATATATACTTCATTATTTACTACACTATATATATACTGATTATACACCTAATAGGGACTATAGACCTCAGTATCTGGTATAAATGTCAACTTGCTAGGTCCACCCGTTCCTGAGAAAATCGGTGGTGACACTCGGACATACATACGGACAGATGGACAAGAAAGTGATCTTATAAGGGTTCCTTTTTTTACCTTTTGAGGTACGGAACCCTAAAAATGACGAACCTATTTATTTAACGTGCGTTTATATAATATGTACATTATACATATTTACATTTTCGTATCTACCATAGAACATTACATAAAAAATATTATATTTTTAGGTAAGTATGAGTTAGTGTATTATTATTTCGTAATTGAATTCTTCACACGACTGTTTCGACACAATTAGTCTAGCATAAACAATAGACCTCAGTCGGGATGACTTTTTCGATATCTTCACCAATCATCGCCATATTTCAGCCAATTAACAAAAAGCTTTATACAATTAATTATATGTACACGTAAAACTTCCTCATAAATCGGTCTGTTTATTAGTGAAGACCATATAAAAATCTGACCTTATCGCGTTCAGACAGACAGACACACATACGCGGTGGGGACACTTTGTTTTTATAATATGCAGTGTTTTTATAAACCCGAGCGAAGCGGCTTGTATTAGTATATATATACATAAGTCCTCCTGACCGTTTTCGGCCACGGCGGCCAATCTCATTGAGACTAGCCAACTGTGCAGGAGATATTACAGTGCACAAGTGTACGCACAGACACAGGTGCACTCTCTATTCCTGTCACTCTCATACTCCGGGGGACGACACGAGACACCACCGGTGAGAGTTAAGGCGCAGAACCAACGCGACACGTGGTCTCCGAAGCACGGGGATGAAACACCGCCAACTTTCTAACTCAGGGCTGTTACTGAGGCTTACTAAACAGAAAGACTCAATAACTAAACTTGGCTCGACACGGGACTCGAACCCAGGACTTTCGGATGTGCAGCCGTACATGCTAGCTACACTACCGGGGCAGTCAAACCTTCTTATTGACTAAAAATTGTTTGGGACTTTGGGTTTAAGTATTCAAATGAAAAATTAATAGACAGACAACTTTTTGAATCGACTATAGCTATTGACGTACCGTGACTCGAGTATCTTCAACAATGTTACATAATTTGCTTATTATCTGGACGACCGAGTTTCACTCGGCATTTTTTTGTAAAATCATTTTTTCAGAAAATACACATTTATAGATAAACTTAAAAAGCTAAACCTTACCTAAATACAAAATTTGATCCAAATCGTTACAGTAGGGCCGAGCCGAATAAAATCATATCATTAAATAAGAATATGTTAAGTTATCGACTTTTTAACTTAAGAAAATATAGAAAAATATGATTGTATTATACAACAATAATCAAACAAAAACGAAAGTTACAGGAAGGAATCCACAGCGGGCAGATTTTCCTGTTTCTTTCCATTCAGCGCTGAGTAGGTCATTATCTAATAACAGTAATTAATCTCGTGTACTGAGCAGTTAGCATATCGTACTCGCAATCCGATAATAAGATGGCTTTACTTTAGATATAAAGCATTTTTTTTATTAAATAAAGTCTCTTCCGTGACCATGATTGATGTAAAGCATTCGAAGCGTCGGGAACCAAAAATCAAAATAAATCCAAAAAAAGTCGACAATGCTTTAAAATATGAATAGGTAAATATGACAACGAATGAACCCTAATTATTATAGTTAAAATATTATACATCAAATCGTGATTAATTTATACGTATCGAAATAGATTTGCATTGCTTTGCATCGGCTGGCACCGACTTCGAAAATATCTGATTTGGTAATATCTATAGTAAATGAAAACCCCCGTTCAGTTATTTTTTACTTTTTAGTAAAATTTTTTGGAGTCAGTTTATTTTTTTAAATTACTTTTTTATTCAACTCTAGCTCATGATGGAGATACTATTTTTTTTATATTCAATAACAGTTATTTTAAGATTATATTGTAGATTGGTCAACCAAATTCATTTGAGGTAAACACAATTTACCTACACTTAGCCCAACATCTAAACAATTTTCCTGTAAATTAATAGCCGCAGGTAGTCATAAAAAACCATTTTGCATCAATATGTAATACAAGGCAATAAAATCAACCGCAATCAAAAATCAGAAAATAGCTTGAAACTTGTTTATTCATAGCGAAAACAGCAAGAAATGTCTAATTTTTTTCTTTTTGTTAACTCTACAATTGTGGTTTCATTGGAATTTAATTTAAGTAAATGTTACTTATGTTAAAAATTCTGAAGTTGCGAAATTAATTATCGAATGGAATTAGGAACAAACCTTTGGTTGTGTGGTCTGCTTGGGCAGAACATCGGTCGAGGCGTCGTGGTTAAGTGCGTAAGCGATCCTGTGACGCCCCATTAAGACGGGGGAGGTTCTGTTGGGTTTTAGTGGGTAATACTGGCTTTTCTAGCCGGTGAGTCTCACATAACCACCTGTATGTATACAGGTGGTATACATAAATGCATTTCCCAACCTCCATACTCCTGATCGGTTTAGGCAAAAGGTTTAGTATTATTACAGAAATGGGTACCATATATTACAGACATTATCACAGACATCTCTAGCTTACCAAATAACCATTACAGAGCGGTTTAGTTAATTGAACTAAACCATGATAATAATCTTCATTGGCAGTTAAATAACTGGTACCTTGAAATTATAACTATTTTCTTTCATTTATTTAACTATCAATTTAAATACAAGAAATAAGAGGAAAAGTTACTTCGGGTCGAGGGTACTACATATATACTAATTCAACTTATATGGAAACTGGTTTGGAACCGCACGTTTACCAGCTTACGAAAAAAGATAAATCTAACTAAGTAGGTTTTAAATTTTCGAATTGGATATCTTACGGTTTGATATAATAAAGGTTTTTTTTTCATAATAATTATAATCAATACTGTCCGAACTTTTGTATTCACAACTATAAGCTACTGTACCGGTGTGCCATCGATTTTTTCGATTATTTCAGGTCCCATCACCTCACAATTTTATAATACAACAGTGTATATACATACAGTTATAAAATTTAATTATTACGCGACTGCGATTTGTTTCGGATTGTTGAACGCCTCTTTAGGAATCTTCGCTGCATTAACATTGGTCAAAAACGGATAACGGAATAAATTAAATAATCTTTATAAATATTACAATTGTTAAAAGTTTATGAGTATGTATGGATGTTTGTTACTCTTTCACGCCAGAACGGCTGAACAGATCTGGATGGAATTTGGCACAGAGATAGATTATAGTCTGGAATAACACATAGGCTACTTTTTATACCGAAAAAACATACGGTTCCCGAGGAATAGATTTGTTTTTGTTTTTACGTTAGAAAATAAAGCTACACAATCTATGTTTCCAACCTTGTACGTATGAAACATTACAGAATACACCACCTCATCACGACAAATACCTAGTTATAATACTAAATATTTATTCGAATTGGAGCCCGCTACCTCTATACTATGAGGGTTGCTCCTGGTACTTTTCTGATAGCAGAGTGGACCTTGGAGCAACCCCGTGGTTGTTGTGGTCTGCTTCGGCAGACCTGCCGTCGGTGCGTCGTAGTTGAATGCGTAAGCGATCCTGCGACGCCCCATTAAGACGGGGGAAGGCTTTGTTGGATTTTAGTGGGTAGTACTGGCTTCGCCGGTGAGTCCCACACCTCGTGCGTAAATGCATTTCCCAACGTTTAAAAAAAAAACCTCTATACTATGAGACAGAACATTGATATGCTACTACAAATCATTGTCAGCCTGCTTTAAAAAAAATACAAGAACTTATTTAAATATGTTTAAATACTAATATAGCCAGATCCGATATCAGCATAATCTTGTAATGTTTTATTTAGTCGTATAGTAGAAATTCATAAAACAGTAATAAACTGTTGGTGATCAAAAATGGAGCTCCCGCTCTAAGTATCCATTTGCGTGTAGTTAATCTACATAGATTAATGACTATAAGCTCTAAATTACACAAATATTCTTCACTAGCAACTCCTTGCGGTTTTAGCTGCCTTGGTTCATGATAATTTAAATATGATTCGCTTAAATACAGAATATAGGCGACCGAGATTCGCTCGACTATTTATTTTTTTGTAAAATTGTGTTTTTCGGAAAAGACACTATATAAATAAAATTAAAAAGCAAAACTTTATATAAACACAAAATTTGATCCAAATCGTTCGAGCCGTTTTCGAGATACCTCCACAAAGTTAATTTATAGCCGAATCTATAAGTTTTTAGAATTTTTGTCTGTCTGTTTGTCTGTTACCGCATCACGGAAAAGCCACTGGAGGGATTTTGATGAAATTTGGTATGATGATAGCTGGTTATCCAGGTCAACATATAGGATACTTTTTACCACGCGAAAATATCTCATTTCTGAGAAAAAATACAAAAACTGAAATGTAAGAGTATACTAATACGTAAAACCTAAAAATTTGGTTCTTGGTCATCTGCAATGCTAGTTCATATATATAAAAAAAGCTTCCGATTAATTGAGAACCTCCTTTTTGGATGTCGGTTAAAGAATATAAAAGAATTGCTCATTTAATTTTATAAGATAATAATTAGTTCCTTACCGGCGGCTCCGCTCGCGTAGATTATTTATATATCTAATTGTAAGGCATCCTAAGGATAGAGGAAAATTTGGATGATACGAAAATCCCTAGGCCTGAGCGAAGCACAGATATGTTTAATTATATAGAAAAATGAAATAACCGCCTCAAATTTTTTGGAAACATTTATAACCATTTTTTCATCAAAGCTTTTTAAGAATTTCTAATTTAATTTTTTAAATACATATATGCATCCAATCCCTTGCAAGGACTTCTGCTCGACTTAAATGCTACTAGTTATTTATTTACTAAGTAAACACTTAGTGAGTTTATATTCATACTATGCATAAATGTTGTAACTGATTTTAAAGTTTGTCATAGCTTGATAAGTGATGTAGGTTGCCAATAAGCAAACTTTTAAATTTCAGAAAAATATTAAACCCATACAACTTATTATATTCAATATACAAAAAAAAATGTTAATTTATTAACTATTATTTAATTTAATGCTTATGAAGCCAAGCTTCTTTCCTTTGTTCTAATTTATAAGTACACTTTGCTACAAATAAAAAGTCAAATTTGCTACTGGTATGTCTATAGGTGGATGATCATTATCTTTGAAGGTTCCTTTAGAAAGTAAATTTATCGAGGAGATTTTGAGTTACATCAAGTTTTTGCAAAAATGTATGAAAAATTCCCTATTGCCTATTATAATGATATAGTTTAAAAATAAAAACGTTTTTTTTTTTAAATATAAGATGTTATCTAGTGTAAGCTCATAAAATTATTACTAAATCAATGCTTACAAAAGCATATGTTTCTAGAATATATATATATATATATATATATATGTAGTATTTTTCACAAAAAAATAATAATAAAGAAATATATGTTTATTAACATTCTTTGCAGTTAGATTAATTGAATAAGTGGTGGTAATTCATTATGCAAGATTCCCTTGACATTCTAGAACCAGCCGACAAAATGATAATGACAAAAACAGGCGCTTATGTTATAGTAAACTGTTTTCAAGACATTATAAATGGAAATCATACTTCTTTTAAGTATTAATGGATAAAAATCTACCATTAGAGAAAAAGTATGTTTAAAAACTAGGTAATACTTTAAAATAAAGTATTATCATTAAAACTATTCTCAAAACATTTGAGAAAATACATTCATTTTGAGGTTATTGGCATGTACATAAACAAACATAAAGATAAGCTAGAGATAAGGTATGGGAGATATGAAAGTTAGGTAATTTATTGCATATTCAAGTATCAATAATTACCTATATGTTACAGTTTATTGTAAGCCATACATTGTAACATTTTATGAACTAAATAATGAGTTATTTATTGCAGATAATAGTTTAGGTGTTTTTCATTAGTTTTATTTTCATTTATAAGATTCTAACTATTTTAATTAATTTTAATAAGAACATTGTTGAGGGCACTATATTTTGTATGTAAAATATGTGTTTTTATTTTAAAACATTAATAAATACAATAATTAAAATCACTTCAAAGCTGCTTATGAAAAATTCCAATAATTCAACTTACCCTTTCCTCAAGATGTGTGACACCAGCCAGGCTCTGATAGAATGTTGGTGTCTCCAAGTCTTGCATAACATTACTTCTATCAAACAGCAGCCACTTTGACAGCACTGTGGCATCTTTGTGTATGAGAAGCCAAGATCTGAATTGATCAAATGTGACTTTTTCACAGTTCCCAAACAGACTTGTAAGTATTTCTATGGTACGGTGGGATTCAGATAAAGGTAGAGAAGAGTTCTCCAACTGAAGGGCTCTAGCAAAGTCCCTTTTGTATATATATGAGCCATTTTCACTTTGATTATTTACATAGAGAGTCCAGAGGAACCTGTTGAGTATAATTTCTTAATAACTAATAAATATAGATTTACATTAATTAATTTAATATTTTATTCACACAGACATTAAAGTTTAAAGCAATGCATTCAAATTTATGCTAATAACAAAGTATCTATTAAGGTTTGAATTTTAAACAGTTAAATTCAATAAATACCTAATAAAAATAATAATAATACAGGAAACAGGGGTCATATATTTTTTTACAAGTTCACTGTTTCCTTGCTGTTTAACTCTACATCAAAATTAATCTTACTTTATTTTTTCTTCAATGTTGCCCTTAGTAAGAACAACCACTCCACACAGCAAGTCCTTAAAGGTAATACCACGTTTTGTGCCCCCACAAGCCTGGTACAACCACTCTGCAACTTCGTATGGGACTCCATCGCACAACACTTCATGGATGAACGCATCCAAGCTCAAGGTCGAGCCGTTCGCTCCAGCACATCTTTTAAATGCCTCACGTATACGCCTCAATTCACTATCAGATACTGTAAATTAAATACATAGACTGTTGATATTTTTCATAATAATTTGTAACGCACTTATTATTCACGAACACGGTGTACCTCGTTTAGCTGCATCTTCGTAAGATATAAAACTAGGTTTTGAATCTTTTGCACCCATATTCGTGTATTCGCAATGATCATAACATTTTTAGGCGTAATAAACACAAAGAAACAAAAAAATTATTACAGCTGACAGCTCACGTCGTATGATCTGTAGCCATATTGAATATTTTTATTTTTTTCCATTGGAATCAGGGTTGGATCCAGAGCCTCAAAAAAATATTGTACATAGAGAATAAAATTATACTACTTGTCCAAAATTATACTACGTTTGACGTTTCATGTTTTTCACGTTTCGTTTTACGGCGTTTTTGTATTGAATTGAAATAAACTTGCATAAGTATTAAAATTGAAAGAGAAAAAAAAAACAATGGAAAAGAATTTGTTAAACAAATCTACTTTCAATATACAATTTTGATGATGAATATAATTTTTTCTCGTGTTTTTCCCCTCAGAATGAGTCGATAAAACAAGCTTTGCGGCCATCATTGAAACATTACATACTTTACATCGTGATTTGAAATTATCTTGAGGATCACGAGTAAGCCACTTACTAAATTTTGGATCACTCTCCCATTCGACTCCGTATTTTTGTTGTCTATGTTTTTTCTTCACTTTTAAATCGCCTCTTTCAACGCGTTTCTTCTTTGGCGTCGAAACACCACACTCTTGTTCGCCCTCACTTTCATTCATGATTACAAAATAGTTCATTCTCAAAATTGTCAAAGCGTAAGAAACAATAATGTACACACGTCACACACTACAATTTGTACTAGTTTAAAAGTTAAAACTTTATACTAATGTATCTATACTGCAACAATTCACTGTCAAGTTTTATACTTAATCAAAATATTGCTATGAACATCATATCGTCTCTCTCACGGTTATTTATAAATCCTTCTTGTCAGAACGGATGGAATAGTAAAATATCACATGGGGAATCCCCGCCAACCTTGTCATTGCCTGATTTGGTGTTGCCGTACGTTCAGAAATTCCTAAGATTGTAGAGTTAATATCAAAAAGTAAAAGTACTCACCAATAATACAAGTCGGTCGACCTAAAGATAAAATTATGGTATTTTTACGTAGTATAGTGGCAATACGATACTACATACTACACGCTATGAAATAATGGTACAAATAGTATAATTATACTACGAAATCCAACACTGATTGGAATCCACAACATTCCTTTCAGTTTGTTCGGATACACTTATAGCAAACATTATTAAATCAAAATTTTTAGCTTGGATACAAACACAAACAAATTATATACTTTAGTTAATAAATAGTTATCTAAAAATTGCCTATATTGTTTTTTATAAAGTTCAATAAATAGTTTAGGTTATATTTTTAGAAACTGATATTCCTAATGTCATAGAAAACGTCTTTTAATCCTTCGATCAAATAGTATGTTGTCGATTGAAGTTTTAATCATGGGTGACAAAAATAAAATTTTAATCTAAATTCTAAATTGATGTCAACGTCAAAATATACGAAATCACCCGACGTATTATGCAGCTGAATTAAAAAGGCTTTCCTTATACTAACTGTATATGAAAAAAGGTGGTCTTTAAAACGTTTTCTTTGTCAATCAATGCTACACTTGTATTTTGTAATGCGTAAACAGCTTCTGTGTTGAATACTTTTTGCTATATTTTTTTGAGACTGTTGGTATATTTTGCTGTAAATTATTTGTACAAGTGAACTTAAAGTAATACATATATATCGATTTCAACATCTACCTAAAAATTAGAGAGTAAGGAATAAGGATTAAGGATCATAATAACGTTATGACCTGACAGCTGTTGTTCTTTGTTGTGAATTTTACGACTGTTTTTGTAAATGTCTGTATCTCTGTGCGTATTGCGAATAGAAGTTGACGAAGAACTTCCAGAAATGGGTGATAATTCAGTTGAAACTGGTAAGCGCGTTAAATACGTTTGATATATGAAATACTTAACATTTACTTACCCTCGAAACTTTTAAATATACATTATTTTTACATAAGCAAAATATATGATAATTTTAATAAACTAGAAAATGAAAAGATCTTATGTGTGTCATCCAGAACTAGCTAAGGAGCAGAAGAAGAAAGATCGAGGTTCGCGTGAATCTAAAACTATAACTGTTGAAACATATGCTAGTGTACTTATGGGCCCTAACTCTGAGTCTGGTATATTGCCGACTAGTTCCCGAAGATCATCTCCAAATAACAGTGCTGTTGAGGATACTGAAACCATTAGTTTCTTCTGTGGAAATCCATTGGTAGAAGTTACTAAGGGGATCTTACATTTATATAAAGAGAAGTCAGTAGATTCTTACAAAAATATATAACTTGACATGTATCCTGTTTTTTTTTAAATCCTTTATTGTATTTTAGTGAATTAAAAGAAGCAGAAGAAGCAAAAACTTTATGTTTATTATCCGTGCCTGGGGCTTTAGGTGCAGCTGACCTCTTAGCTTTTGCAGCTGCCTGTCAACAGGATATCTCACATGTTAGAGTTCTTAGAGATGGTTCTCCCGATCATTATATGGCATTGCTCACGTAAGTTGAAAATTTTAATTTCTTTATTAATCATAACATCGGTATATGATGACATCATTTCTTATTTGTAGATTCCGCACAAGCCAAGCAGCACAGGAATTCCACTCTGCTTTTTCTGGTGTACCATATAGCAGCCTAGAGCCACATGCCCTTTGCCACATGGCATGGGTATCACGAGTTGAGTGGGCTAGACATGGAGCTGCTCCGGCCTCGCACACTGAATTGCCTACATGCCCTGTGTGCTTAGGTAAGTTTTAACTATTGATAATAAGTTTTGCTAAGTTTAAGCAAGTAAAATGAATGTGTATAGTATAAAACTAATTCATATATTATGAAACTACTTAATCTTGTATATTTTTTTAAATGGATTAACTGTAATTATTTATATAATCTCATAATTTATTATAATATGATTATGGGGCTCCAGCATCTTACTTTTGGTATCAAAACACTTCCTGCTATTGGTGATTTATTAGTTAGTATGGTTAGTGAACATAACCTTTGTTGATCTGATTGTTGTGTAATTGATATTCAAAATATTTTAGTCAACATTAAATTACTACAATTTATTACTAAATGTAAGCCTAACACCAGTTTGGAAAGTTCACAATTTCATTTTCATCCAATGGTCTCAAAGGTGTGGTGGCTAGCATGTACTGCTGCAAATCTGATATTTTTGGGTTCGAATCCATCATGCTCAGTAGTAGTAGTTGGGAAGTTGATAGTGTAATAGCTCTGTGTATCATAGAGTTGTATCGAAATATCATCTTTTCGAAGATAGAAAGGAATAGAGATTGAACTGGTGTCTGCACACATACTGGTGCACTATAATATCTTCAGCTCACGAAGAGGCCGAAATTCGTTAAGGTGACATTGTTGTTATTACTATTAGTTGTTTCCATTAGTGAGCATAAACTTAGTCTGGTCTGTTTAAGTACAAGTTTATTTTGGCTGCTCACTTCATATCATTGTGTGTTTCACAGAGCGCATGGATGAAAGCGTGGCGGGCGTGCTGAGCGTGCAGTGCGCGCACGCGTTCCACGCGGAGTGCCTGGTGCGCTGGCGTGACGCGCGCTGTCCCGTGTGCCGCTGCGCGCAGACGCCCGAGCCGCGCGAGCGCGCCGCCTGCGTGCAGTGCGAGGCCGAGGGTCAGTACGCACTCTACACTACACTCTACTTATCACACATACTAATATTATAAATGCGAAAGTAACTGTCTGTACCTTTTCACGCTTAAGCGACTGAACCAATTTAAATAAAATTTGGTATGGTAGTTTGAGACTTTGGAAGGGACATATGATACTTTTTACCCTGGAAATCATACCTTTAAGGGTGTGAAAATAGGGATGAAAGTTTGTATGGAGAATCAACCTAGGGACGAACCCGAGCGAAGCGAGGGTGAGTTGCTAGTATCCTATAATTTTTGTAAGAAATAAAAATATTTCTGCGTCAATGACAAATCTAGGTAAAACAGGGGTTGATTTCAAGTTTCTTAAAATACTTACCTACTTTTCTAACCTTTGTATATATAGTCCATCTATTCCATACTAACCGTTCAAACGTACCTAGGGACTAACCCGAGCGAAGTGAGGGTGAGTCGCTAGTTTATTATAAATAAACTAGCCTTTATATTATACGCCAATATGTAATTTTTTGATTTTATTTAGCTTCTTAAATGGTATGGGTCAACATATAATTTCATTATATGTTATGAATAATACCAAACCTTCCTTTCAATAAAACAATAAATTAATTGACCTAAAGTATCCCATGAGAACCATGTTTCTTTGTCACTGTTTGATTCATAAAGTAAAGATTTTTACAATAAAAACTGACATTCATCTATCGTTTCATGAAAAAAGATCAAATAATAAAAAACAATTTCGCATTCCTAAATAACTAAACAATATTTTATGAAAATTTGAAATCTGTTGTCAATTGAATAAGACATATGTGGCGACACACTGTCTACAGTGAATTCAGCGGTTTTGATCGCGGCGACGTAATGTCAGGAGCCGGGGCAGCAAATATGCGCCCGAGCCCGCGTCCTGAGCGTGGCCGCGTTGTAAATTCAGTCGTTAGATTCGCGAGTGCACGGACAGTCCCCTCCTCATAATAAGAATAGACATTGTATAAAGAAATTCAATGAATCGGTTAGTAAAGTTGTATCATGTTTTAATTGGACATCCCTGGTATAACAAAGAACACGCGAAGCAAACCCCGAAATATATCAACAAAGTTGTGTGATGGTCAGAGGGTGAGGGCGAGGCGGAGGCGGCGGCGCTGGCGCGCGAGGACGCGGGCGCGGCCGAGGGGCTGGAGGCGGGCTCGCTGTGGATCTGCCTCATCTGCGGGCACGTCGGCTGCGGCAGGTGACTCGACCTTTATATTTATTGATGTGATACAGCACGCACACACACACGCACACACTCACTCACACGCACACACACATCCACGCACGCACGCACACACTCACTCACTCACACACACACACACACTCACTCACTCACTCACACACACACACACAGACAACTTCACGCTATATCCCTTCTGGGGTAGGAAGAGAGTACAGAGTGTCTCGTTGCGTTACTATCTCTACATACCTCAATTGCCTCTTCCATTGTGATAGAACACAGCTGTTTTTTTAAAGTGTAATTAAATATGGTTACTAACGACTTACTCTTGCTTATAATAATTTATATGCATGTAATTTATATGTTATCTTCTGTAAATCTTTTAGATTTCATGACTTTATAATTTGCAGATATGAAAAAGGCCATGCAGCGAAACACTTCCTCGCATCAAACCACACTTATGCCCTACAGTTAGGCTCAAACAGAGTATGGGACTATGCAGGTATAGTAAAAAAAAATAATAATACAGAAATTGCACATTTAAAATGTTTGTGAGATTTCTTTTAGGCATATAAATAAATATAAATATGTCAACTATATATAACTTTAAATACATACATATTATAATTATATAAAGAATGATTAAAATCGATTATAATTTGCCAATGGGAATATTGAATGGGTTTCGTGTGGTGTGCAGGAGATAACTTCGTGCACCGGCTGGTGCAGAACAAGGCGGACGGCAAGCTGGTGGCGGCCGAGGACAAGCCCGACGCGCAGCTGGAATTCACGTATGCGCTCACGCGCCAGCTGGACGGCCAGCGCGCGCACTACGAGCAGCGCCTGCACGAGTGAGTGCCCATATATCTTAACAAACCTATACCACAGGAACCGTACATTTTTACGGGATAAAAGTAGTCTATGTGCTATTGCGGACTATAATCTATCTATGTGCCAAAGGATCTAGCCGTATAGTCCGGTCAATATAGACATTTAAAATAACAAAAATTCCTGGAAAGACAAATTAGATTTGAAAAACCCCAAATCAAAACAAGTTTTAGAATTTGAAACTAATTAAAAGATCCTATTACTATCTTCACTATTCATTTCTAGAATGTATCATCTGAATGGTTAAAACAAATCAATTGAACCAAAATCCTACCGTATTTACACTGTCTAAAACCAATCTGCAGTACATGTCGGCTGACAGAATTTTTTTGATCTATAGCTAAAAAAAAGTAAATTAAAGTCAGTTGATCCGTTTGGACGTTACGATTCCCCTTTTGGCATGTGTAATAACAAGCGACGGTGTCCCGCCACTCGCCAGGCTGGAGGGCGCGGCGCGGGCGGCGGAGGCGCGCGCGGCGGAGGCGGACGCGGCGGCGGCGGCGCTGCGCCGCGACAACGCCGCACTCGAGCGCCGCCTGCACAGCCTCTCCGCCAAGTGCGTACTGCGAGTTGCGACCTTCACATTTATATTTATTATTTTATATATACACGCATACACAAACGCACATTGCGTACTGTTACGCGGTGTAACTTAAAAGTCTTTTTAATAAAAATATATATTTATTTTACACTAGATTACACTGTAATAATAGTCAATTATATAAATTACTTCAACGTATTTAAACTGTATTACAAAACCTTATTATAATAACCGCAGCTCAAATAAGACTAACTTATCTATGGAATTCTATGGTTATTTAACCTAACTATAACTCTGTGTGAGGTACAGGGGAGTAAGGGGTATTATGATGGGGTAGACACTAGACACTTCCATGTACTAGATCAAAATATAACAGTGCGCATGTGCACACATGTGTACACATGCATAAACACACATACATGAGCACGCTAACGTTACATACTTAATATATTCACTGTTTTCTACCAATAGATCCAATATAGCTATAACTTTATTGTTTTATCGTTATGATGTAAAACGAGGTATTTACTATTATTTTTTTATAATTTATGGGATATTTTGGCACTGTGTTAACAACACTATTTATTATTTATTGTTATGCTTATTTTTCTGACATTGATTATAATAAATTTGAAGGTAGCAATGATTATAAATTTTGATATTAATAAAATATGAGGGTATAATAAAAAAATAAAGGGGGGGTTGTTAAAAAAAGTGAGAGAGGACGGAGGTTGTGTACATAAGGAAGTTTAAAAATGTATATTGTAACTATAGGCTGAATTTCACATCAATTACTGGTGTAAGGAATGTACAGTATCTGTCTATTATTAGAGAACCATATTTTGTCATGGTAATGGAACATAATATGGTAAATATCCCATTTTTCAATTTGTTAAAGATTATTACTTTTCTACGTTTTAGCTTCGAAACTGTTTGCCATGATAATTACCATTTTTATACAATACGTTTAATTACTGTAAAAATCACAGATGATTATATCAACTGTATGGATGTTTATGCTACATAACTACTATAATAATATTATTAATGAAAACTAGTATAGGATTATAGTAAATAAGCTAAAATAGGTAAAAGTAAGAATAAAAGGGTCGACCGTGAAAACGATGACAACTGTAGTAATTCAGATGACCAAAAATAAAATTCTTAGTTTTTACATTTTAGTATAGTCTTACATTGCAGTTTTTGTATTTTTTCTCAAAAGTGAGATATTTTCCCGCGGTAAAATTATCCTATGTGTTGACTCGGATAACCAGCTATCACCATACCAAATTTCATCAAAATCCCTCCAGTGGTTTTTCTGTGATGCGGTAATAGACAGACAGACAGACAAAAATTCTAAAAATTATAGATTCGGCCTCTGTATAGATAATAATGTGTATTTCAATAATATTTCATGTACAGATTCGTCTTAGTTACAATTTTATTATATGTATAGATAAACAAAATAGTATGTAAATATATAAAGAGGTTAACTAATAACTATATATATAAAATACATCATAAAATATAAAGGACTGCGTCCGTATTTCAACAATTATGTATATAAGCTATTTATATCGCCGAATTTATCATTCAAGCTGATGAGCAACTGCAAATAGTAACAATCACACGTGTATGTGTGTCTGTGCAGGGTGTCGTCGCTGCAGAGCTCGCTGGCGGAGGAGCGCGGGCTAGCGGCGGCGCTGGCGGCCGCGCACGCGCAGTGGCAGGCCAGCGCCGCCGCCGCGGAGGACGCCTTCCGCACTGAGGTACGCCCCTACTCACTCACGAACCCGCGATCTCCTAACTTGCTATATGCTATACACGCTATGCTATTCACTGGGCCGCTGTGGATATTAAAGTTAGTAGTAGTATTAGTTAATAAGGGAGTGTAATGGTCTTATTTTTTATAATAAAACTAGCGACTCACCCTCGCTTCGCTCGGGTTTGTCCCTAGGTTGATTCCTCATACAAACTTTCATCCCCATTTTCACCCCCTTAAGAGATGATTTCCGGGATAAAAATATCCTATATCCCAGGGTCTCAAACAGCAAACTATCTTTTTACCAAATTTCATCTAAATCGGTTCCGTAGATCCAGAGACTACCACCCCCCACAACGTAACAAACTCACAAATTCACGAAGTCACAAACTTTACATCTTTTTAATATTAGTATAGATTAAAATTCCTTTTTTCAAATACCTACTTCATATTGAAATATTATGTTCATTATTTTTTATAAATGTAGTCTACACAACACTTACAATATTATTTTTGCTCTATCCAGCTAGCTACCTACCAATCTCCGAAATGGTTGAATCAATTTTAACGGTTTTTTAAGTAATCTTTACAATATAAATCCTTAATTATCTTTTAAATCTTTAATTAAGTAACGGCTTGTGGCCATTAGTTCCGAGAAAAAAGAATTCCCGTGGGATAAGTGATTATATAAAAATTACTAGTTTCTTAAGCTATGTTCCTAATATGTAAGAAGAAATCTCAGACCGAAAGATTTAAAAAAAAAATGTTAACTATTGAAGTGGGGTACCTAGATTACATAACATAGATTATTATAATATAGTTGATTAGTTATTTTATAATTAAAGACAGTCTTAGAGTAGAGGTAGAATAAATCTGACCGTTATCCAGAGCGGTTGTGTTTCTCTTGAATCTCCCCGCACCCCTCACCTCACTACGATTATTGGTACCAGCGTTGCCAATTGGCGGGTAAATTACCCGAAAAGCGGGTAACTTTTGGGCGATTTTTGATGGCGGGTAATTTTGACGGTTATTTGCATTGAGCGGGATCAAATCAGGTATTTTAGTTTGCCCCCCCAACGTGCGTTCACCTTGTCGTGGTGGGGGGGCTCAGTAGTGTACTCGCGAAGCCAAGAAACGCACAGGGAGGTGGCCCGTTTTGGTGGGCGGTGAGAGGCGGCCTTCTTCGGAGGGCGGTGTACCATGCGGGTTGCTCCTGGTACTTCTCTGATAGCAGAGTGGACCGTGGAGCAACCCCATGGTTGTTGTGGTCTGCTTCGGTAGACCTGCCGTCGGGGCGTCGTAGTTGAATGCGTAAGCGATCCTGCGACGCCCCATTAAGACGGGGGAAGGTTTTGTTGGGTTTTAGTGGGTAGTACTGGCTTTGCCGGTGAGTCCCACACTTCGTGCGTAAATGCATTTCCCAACGTTAAAAAAAAAAGGTATTTTAGTTTGGCTGATTCATTTGATATTTTAAGTTTTTTTAATGTTTGATTTAATAATTTAAAATAAACATTAAAAAATACTTAAATAATTGAGAAATGATTACAATGACTTATTTTTCTAACATTAGTACTTTCTTTTATTCTATATAAAACATGAATAAAATACTTAAAAAAAACTATTTTTGGGTATTCTGCTCATGGTTGGCTCCGGCGGGATAAACCGGGTATTTTGAGGTTTAATGGTGGGGTAAATAAACGACTGTTATCTGGCAGCCCTGATTGGCACATAAAAATATATTACAATTTTAAATGTAGGTGGCGGAACTAAAGGATCAGCTCCGCGACGTGATGTTCTTCGTGGAGGCGCGCGGGCAGCTGGAGCGCGCGGAGGGCGCCACGCCTGAGGAGCTGGCGGGCGCGCGCGTGTCCGTGCCGCCGCCCGCCAAGCCGCGCCGCCGCCGTCGCTAGACATTACTTTTAATATACCTATAATTACTCTAAAATATTAAGATTCAATTAAATTCAAAATGTCTTAGTATTTTTTTTTATTCCACTCATAGAAATGATCTTTTTTAATTTTTATGTGGGACCACTCTTAATAACACCTGTTGATGAAATAAAAAGTTATGCAAATCGATTCAGAATTGGCGAAGATTCGCATAATAAAGACAAAAAATAGAGACGAATTCAGTAAACACCTCCTTATTGAAATCGGTCAAAACTATTTTATTAGTAGGATAGGAATATCCGAAAATTATCAGAATGTAGAATAATTTTATTGCACATAATATCTTTCTAAATTTATTTTGCTATTTATTTTATATTTGTTACTTTTAGGCTTTAGATGTTTCTGTACAATGGATCAATGAATACGCGAATATTTAAGTTAAGTGTAAGCGAAGTGTTTAAATTAAAATGTCAGCAGTATGTGTCGTCGATGTTATGCAGTAGCTACCAAACTTTGTGATTACTGTGATATAAATAGAATAAAGCATCATTATTTAATGTTTTATTTTTTATTTCAACCTTTTATCATATATTTTACTATAACTAAGGTTCATGAACGAATAAGCCAAATTCGTTCATGCTAAGGTTATATGACTTAAGGATTATTTTGCAATACATGCGTTGCGATCAAAAAAATATTTTATTTTTGTAATATTTCAATAATTTATAGAAAGGCGCTCGTAATAAATGACTGTTTAATATTTATTACTAGCGGCTCATCCTCGCTTCGCTTGGGTTCGTCACTGGGTACGTTTTAATTAGCCATGTAAATTGTTAGGTGTTTTTTGTGAAATTTTCCAATGTTTTAATAGTTATTCTGCTATTCGGGGCGGAGGCAAATCCAACAAATCAAAAACCATGAAAATTGGTCCAGCAGTTCTCGAGTTATAAGTAGAGATGGGCCGAATGTGGCTTGAACCGAATACGAACTTCGGCCGAACATTCGGTGAGAATAATAAATTCGGCTGAACTTTGGTTCAATTTCACCGCGCTTTCTCGGTAACCAGGACATCGGGGGCATTTTACGGACTTTTGTTCCTGATATACCTGGCACCTGCTAACGTTTTGAAAATATACAACTTCAGGTTTTAATTTTTTTGTTTTCAAACCGGATTCCGATCGGTCTAATCTATACATATAATAAAATTCTAACTGAGTCAAATCTGTACATTAAATATTTTTTGGAAAATCTTATTGAAATAGACATTATTATCGATACAGAGGCCGAATCTATAATTTTTAGAATTTTTATTTGTCTGTCTGTTTCCGCATCACAGAAAAACTACTGGACGGATTTTGATGAAATTTGGTATGGTCATGGCTGATTATCCGGGTCAACATATAGGACACTTTACAGCGGAAAAATATCTCATTTCTGAGAAAAAATACAAAAACTGTAATGTAAGAGTATACTAATATGTAAAACCTAAGAATTTGGTTTTTGGTCATCGGAAGGCGGGCGGAGCCGCGGGTAATGCTAGTTAGTAAAAAGACTTATTTTATTGTTATGACAGACATGCTTTCTATTAATTTCAGTCAAAATAGTGCAAGTATAATAGGTACCTAGGGACGAACCCGAGCGAAGCGAGGGTGAGTCTCTAGTATTTTAAATGAAAATGTGAAAATATTTGCAAACTTTTAAATTAATTTAGTTTAAAGTTTAAACTCTACATAACGTCATTTTAGTTAGGTCAAAATTTTAGAATTAATGCCACTAGCAACTGCTGCACGAAATATGTATTAGTATGTGGCAATATATTTGGTGTGTAAATGGACTAATAAATAATAACATTTTTTATTTAAAATAATAAATGGTCCTAACTTAACAGTACTTCTATATATTATGTTACTATTTGTGGTGGTATTTGGTTTCATTTTTATATTCAATAATATGTACCTTTAGTCTTAAGATGTCGCCGTTATCAATATAAAGAGAGAAAGAGTTAATTAGGACCTGTCAAGTGTCAAATTGTCAAATGTCAAAAATATTCTTTTATCTTTATTCTTTTTCCTTGTGTTCACAGATTAAGTATTAGTTACTACGTAACTTGTGTTACGGTAACCCTCCATTTTTGCGGTTACAAATTACATTGGTTGCTTTTGTACAGAATTTCTAAATGAGATAGTTAGATTGTTATCGATAATTTGTCGTATAGCATTACTGAGGATTGAAAATCTCTACTAAAACAGCATCTAATAAATAGTTTCTTAGAACACTTTCAATAAACTTTGTGACAAGCAGCGTGAATAGGTAAGGCAAAGTGATTAATGTGATCTTGCAAAGTGGTCTATTATTGCGAAATCTATTTTGTACGACTGAATAATAATGTTGTGTTTATAAATTTATTTATTATTTTTTAGTACAAATTTGACCACTTTGCGTGTAGGTACCGTGTTTGACGTATAATTTTCACAGGAGTCACGGGTGATCGACCAAGATTCATTTTGGGAACATCGATGATGTTGTTATTTCTGGTGGTTTTGCTAAAGACTGAACTTTGTAATGTCACCAGAGTCAGTTTCTCGCAATTCCGCTGTCCTCCATTATAATATGATGACTAGTTCGACACTCCATCCGAAAGTCTGCAGCTAGCGATGGGAAAGATCCAATTGTTCATGTGCATTGGATTTTTAAGCTATCGTTATTTGTGGACGATCTCTGTCTCCTAGGTCGTTTGCTATAGCATCAAATAAAACTATAAATGGCTGCAATTTTTTGCTTATATTTGACTTTATAATTGGTAAGATTTATTTCAAAAGAAAACGTTACAAGTATTATCATCATTTTATTTTATGAGAAACATGATATGAAGAAATTAATCATTTTTTTTCCATTATTTTATTATAAGCCCACGAGTCTCATATATTAATTACATAGTAGACATTTAATATAATCAGCCAGTAGCCCTATTTAAAAAGTCCAATAGGATCCCATCAAAAGCCACAAAAGCCACATAGAAACCAATAAATATTTATTGGTTCCTATGTGACTTTTGTTGCTTTTGGTGGGATTCTATTGGAGTTTTTCAACAGGGAGGTTGTGTAATATTTGTATTTTATAATAATTATTATTTAATATATTCATTCATACTTACCTTTGCAGTTTATATAGAAGGGAAATAGGGTCACTATTTCCTTATATTGTTTTTAGTTTTCCTGGAATTAAAAGAATCTGAAAAAAAGCATTTAAATTTAAAGAAAATTACATATACTTTTTATATACATCTTATTGCAAAGAATTAATGTATTGTCACTTTATTAGCCTTAAAATTTATCAAAAACACAAAGTTTGCTTGTTTTTATTTTACTGTAACAAAGTTAATGTCATAAGTTATTATAAGTACATTTATTATTGAAGCCTTCACTTTAGGATGTTTGTTTGATATTTTTAATATAGTCATAAGCAACTCATAACTATAAAATTAAAAAGATCTTGGAGAACACGATATAATAAAACACAGTAGTAGAAACATTGAAAGTATAAAATATAATAAAAAAATATTTGATTTACATGCTTTATTATTACTCACTCGGGTTCGTCTTTGGCTTGCTTCAGAATACAAACTTTTTCAGGATAAAATTAATTTCTGGGGTAAAAAGTATCCTATGTCCTTCCCAAAGTCTCAAACCATCTTCTTAGCAAATTTCATCTTAATCGGTTCAGTAGATTAAGAGATTACCCCCTACAACCTCACAAACTCACAAACTTTACTATTTTATAATATTAGTATAGATTTATATACTTTGTTTGTTTTGCTTTTTATTAGTAGATATGAAATGCTATTGTAATTTCACACTATTGATAATATTGGTTAGGTCAGAATTAATAATATATCTTGATTATTTGACCTATAAATAATAAATACTTGGTAGTCACTAATTGCTTACGTATGTTGAGTATATATCTGATATCTCTGATAGATCCAGCACTCAAAAGGTAGGTCATTTATTTTGGCCATTAGTCCATGCATATGCCATCATGCCAATAAACTAAAATGAGTTAAAACTTTTTAATTCTTAGTGTTTACAGTGATCAAACAAACCTTTTAGATATTTTCTACAAATCTTTATTATATTTTAATTAATATTGTAATCATTTACCTTTGTTTTTTTTTTATAATAAAATAGTAGTTTTAATATAAAAAAATCAATGGAGAACGATATTTGTATTTTAATTATATGAATTTTAATCTTTATTATAGGTATTTTTTGTATAATTTGCATTGTCATAGTTAGTATTTAAATATTAGAATTGCTGTAGTTAGCTATAGAATAAAAATGTTTTGTTAAGATGATAGCAAAGTATACAAAGCCCTAAGTAGGATTGTGGTAGGATTTCATTAATCTTCTACATATATTAATTCGTCAATGTCATGTAAAATGGAGAAGACAAAGGAGATTGGTTGGTAAAATATGGAAGGTTAATGTTATATGGAAACCAACACAACAGGTTTTTAAAATTTTTATCTGCCTGTCTCATTGTTGATGAGCTATTTTAATATTTTCTTTAATTGGATGAGTTCATTCAAATGTAATATGTTAAGTAAAGCTTAATATTAATAAGACATTTAATATTAAATACTTAGTATGTAGCTAACATATATTTTATATTTTGTGCGTAATATTAAAGAACATATTTTAATTAGATTTATTCCTTATTGTGCTTTAAGCTTGCTGAAAAGGAACTGCTGTAAAGTATGAAACGTGCTAATTTTAAGACATTAGCTACGCCTTACTGGCTTACAAATAATTGGTATAACACCTTAGCAATGTAAAAACAATATCTTAAATCAATATTATAATTATTGGTGATAGACAGAATAATTTGTTATATGTATCATTATTATATATGCAGGTAGTTAAAAGTTACTGTAAATATTATATATGTCAGGAAGTTAAATAACTATTATTTTTAGGCAATTTTAAAATGAATGAAATTCAAGAGCCTGGGTCTCCACCGTCGAAGAAGCTCAAATTAGACGATGAAATTGTACAACAAGAAGAACAGGATGAAAAAATTATGGATTTCACTGAAGATAATGTAGGGGTGGAAGATAATTTTACTATCGGTGATAAGTATAGTGACTTTGTGAGTCCTGCAGAGTTAGAGAAGCTGAGGGAGTTTAGGGTTTTAGATGAAGTGAAGGATAACGAAGGAGACACTAATGACGAAGATTCTGATAGCTCTGAAGGTATGTAACTGCTTACAGTAATTTCAATCAAATTCGTGTAACCATTACAGTACTTAAACTAATTTATTAAGAACCTCCGATGACACAATACTCTATTAGCAAAGAAGTTACATTCCTTAGGCAGTAATAAAACAGACTGCCTTTATTTTAGGCTATTTCTAGGACCTTTTATGTTAGCTTAATCAGACGATATGTGTCTTTGATCCACAAACAAATTGATTTTAATTTTTAAATTAAAGATATGAAAATTCCTCATACATTTAATAAAAAAATCCAATGTCATTGTTTTTAACGGTAAAAAACAACGCATAAACTTAAAGTATGAAAACAGCGCCATCTATGAGATACAAAAGTTGGTTAGTAATTATATCTAATGGCGATTTTTCATCATTTTGATCATCAATACAAAAATTTGAATTAATTCTTCTTTGCCCCTCAGGAGATCCTCTGATAATTACTATTAAAATTTAAATAACATTTTCATTTGGAAGAAATTTTTAAATGTTTTTAGAATGTATAAAATTGTAGGTAAATCAGAGGAATTGCCAGAGGAAGAAATCGAAAAGATGTTGGATGAAGATTTGCCTCCAGAACTTAAGGAGGCTCGCAAACCTAAGGAGAAGCCATACGTTACGCGTACTAAGATTGTTCTAGAAGGTATTTTCTTAATGATGTCACACTTTAAAGACACTAATTACCTACATGGTATTTTCATTTATTTCATGACTATAATACTTTTGTTCATCCAAGTAGAACTTTGGCAATAAAACAAGTACACCGTTGTCTATAACTTTAAAATATACTGGGAACATTAAAAGCATTTTTAAGACGGCATGGGTATTACAGACATTAAAAACGGAATGGTTTTTTTATTAGATTCATGAGCTTAATAGATACTTACCTATCAATGGTTCTTCTTTCATTGCTTTAATTTGTAGAACTAACAAATCCTTTATAACAAAACGAATATGAATAAATGTCTACAAACACATAATCTGTAATCAAAATAATATATTTCATCACCTGTGAGGTACTTTCCAAAACGCAACTGAAAAATGTCTAAATCTTATCTATCTAGATATTTCACGTAAGTTGTATTGGATATGTTTTAGAGAAGGGTATCAACCAGTTCGAGATCCTGCCGCTGGACTGGATGATGGTGCGGCACTGCAGCGGCGTGCCGGTATACATGCACCGCCCCACGCGCGTCTGCACGCTCTCCAAGCCGTACTTCCTGGGCAAAGGAAATACGAGGGTGAGAACTGTTAAAGCAATCATGTTTCTTTAAAAATGTGTTAAATAGTAAAACAGTGTAGTTCACAAAAATGATTTTTTTAACCTCAATGATTTAACAAGAACCGTCCCCATTTATGTACAGTTAAATTTAACTTTATTTATCAACTAAAAAATGTCAATTTCAGCGTCACGATATTCCCATTAGTGCCATTCCTTGTCTAGCGTATCGACGAGCACTAGAAGAAGAAGAGAAGCAGAAGGAAATAGATCGTAAAGTTGAAGAACAGATTAAAAACAAATCGTGGCTGCAAGCACAAGGACTGACCGTTTTAAATCTCAACGGGGACACGACCACCGAAAACGATGAAAAGACTGATGAATTAATGACAAATAGTACTGATTTAAATGATAAAAAAGTTTCTAATGGTAGTGAGATTAAATCTACGGGCAAGTGCCCTTTTAGCCATTTAAGAAGTGATAATGAGGATGATGTTAAGTCAAATATTGAAGATATTAAAACTGATGATCAGAGTGAAGAATCTATTGATCGGATAAAAGAAAAAAACGATTCTAATAGCCACACGGAATCGAATGATAATAATGAAAGTAATGACAGAAATGAATGTAATGTTAAAAATGAAAGTAATGATGTTAATGAATGTAATAACAAAAATGAATCTATTGAGAAGAAAGAATCCAATGATGATGTAAATGATAATAATAATGATGCTAGTGCCAATACCAATGATACTGCCAATGCTAATAATCCTAGAATATTATTTGAAGACATACCTTTGAACCGTCAGCCGGTCATACTGCCGGGTGGTATAATAATGCCCTCGCCGAGAGTCGAATCTGTGAACTCCAGCTGGAAAACTCAACACCTAACTGCCGAACAAATAAACGATTACTGCAAAACTCTCTTCATATTCAAGACAGTCAATTTCATGCATTTCAAGTAAGTTTTTATTATATTTATTACTATATTATTTATTTCTTTAGTAAATAGTGAAATGTATGTAATAATCTATATCTTACTAGGAGTACCCGCGGCTTCGCCCGCGTCTAAACTTCCGATCGATAACAAAATTCACAGGATCACCCGTTGGGCTAGTCTGAAGATTACCTGAAAATTTCATCAAAATCGTTTCAGCTGTTTTGGAGTCCATAGGAAACATATGTATACACATCGATTTTTATTCCATTTAATTAACAATTTAAATTTATTTATTGTTCGGAAAATGGCGTCTTTTATGAAAATTTAGTGACACACCGACTACAGCGCCACCTACCGGATCCATTAGTGAATTCAAACCTGACAGGGACCCATTGAAATATACACACAAAATTTCATCCAAATCGGTCCAGTCTTAGGAGGAGTAGGTTAAAAGACACACATACAGAAGTATTATATAATATAATAAGATATACAACATTTTTGAACAAAATATTCATTGCTATGCGTTTGTGATATTTTAGTATTTTATTGGTAGATATGATATCTATTTTATTTCTTACTAGCATTGCCCGCGGCTCCGCCCGCGTTCAGATGACCAAACACAAATTCTTAGGTTTTACATATTAGTATACTCTTACAATGCAGTTTTTGTATTTTTTCTTAGAAATGAGAAATTTTATCGCGGTAAAAAGTATCCTATATGTTGACCCGGATAACCAGCTATCATCATACCAAATTTTATCGAAATCTAACCAGTGGTTTTCTCGTGATGCGGCAATAGACAAACAGTCTTCGACTTAGTTACAATTTTATTTATACCTAATTATATATATACCTAGATTATTTCTTATTATTTCTAATAAATAATATTGAATATTCGATAAGGATTCTATAAAGGCAGCGGTAGCCCAGTGGTAACACGCTCGCTTGGCAAATCCTATGAAGCGTGTTCAAATCCTGGGTTTTGCACCTCTGACATTTTTATGTGTGAATCATTTCCAACGATTACTATTTGTCGTACAGTGAAGGTAAATATCGAGGGGAAAACTGCATGTCTTAGAGAACCTAGCAAGTTTTATACAGATTTGGTCAGTCCGCCCGTACTTGGCCAGCGTGGTGGATTATGGCCTGATCCCCCTCGTAATCAAGGAAGGCTCACGCCCAGCAGTGGGACGTTAAAACGGGCTCAATACTTACCTACATACAAGGATTTTATAAGGTTTTTGCTTTTAGCCGTTGGGCGGATCGTCGCAAGTACACGAAGGCCCGCAAGGCGCTGCAGTACCCCAAGCTGCCGGAGGGCACCAAGCTGATCAGCATACCTGCCATCAATAACGGCCAAGACGGTAATTGAGTGTGAAATCAAATTTTAGTAATTAAAATTAAACCCACGTCAAAAAAATTTATGGGCGACCAATTAAAGTTTTTAGAAGTGTACTTTATTACATTTTATTAAAAATCTAAGTATTAAATAAGAATAAGTTAAACTAATGAAATTTTAATACCCGGGGCGGGTTTTTTATTCGCCGTTCGATATAGTTTTAGTTGTCGACAACTATGAATCTATGTATTATGTTTACTAATAAACACACAAAAAAGTATTATTTTGACACTCAAAAACTACATAATAATAAACCATATTGGTTAATTTCTTTGACAAACTAGTTGTGTGATGATGATGTTCTCCTGACCGATTCCGGCCACGGCGGCCAATCTCATTGAGACTAGCCAACTGCGTAGGAGATATTATAGTGCAGCGCGTGTACGCGCAGACACAAGTGCACTCTCTGTTCCTGTCACTCTCATACTCCGGTGGGACGACGCGAGACACGACCAGTGAGAATTAAGGCGCAGGACCGATGGCTTTACGTGCTCTACGAGGCACGGGAGTGGAACACCGCCAACTTCCCAACTCCGGGCTGTTACTGAGGCTTACTTTACAGAAAGACTCAATAACTAAACTTGACCCGACCCGGTATTCGAACCCAGGTGTGCAGCCGTACATGCTAGCCACTACAACACCGAGGCAGTTGTGTATGGAATATGCAAATACCTAAATAATTTACCAAAAATATGTTTTTATTATAAAGTAGTTATTTACGTCGTTCTGTCGCTGTGTCACTGAGTCACTGTCACTGCGTCGCAGCGGCGCTGAGTGTGTGTGTGTGGTCGCAGGCGGCAAGGCGGGCGCGCGCGACTGGGTGATGAACATGGACGGCTCCGGCTACCTGTCGGAGTTCCACAAGTACGTGTGCCGCGCGCTGCAGACGCGCCCCGTCTACGAGTACAAGCAACTCGGTGAGTGCTATCTCACTCTCATGGAGAGAGAGAGAGGGCCTATACATGCGGCCTTTTCAACGCGCTTTGTTCTACGGCTATTCAAGGCACACTTGACGCTTCTATTTATTTAATTATAAGCTCAGAATATGTGCAGACGTTTGTATATATACGATGCTCGTATCGTCTGCATGTTTATGGAACGTGCTATGTATAGGTCTACAACTATTACCAACAAGCAAGAATGACTCGTCGACTTGTTCTCAATAACTTGTCTTACCTTGTGTAATATACATGTAATTGAAATCACTTTTATTGTACCTTCTCTCTTTGATTTAATAATTGGACTACAATTAAATGCGAAAATTTGTATGTGTATTTTTGTTACTCGCTTATGCTCGTAAGGTATGTCACTATTAAATAATAATTCATTATAATAATAACTAATGGAAGCCCCGTTCCCACCACATATTCAATCTGACACTGTTGAGAAAACGGACGTTCGGTTGTACCATCCAATAGCTACGTTTTTTAGCCCATCTAAAATCCACCCCGGAAGCCTTTTTACAATTCCATATTTTCCATACTTCCTACACATTATCTGAAGGCCATATGGGTTACTCAGAGATAGATCTCGGCTGATTTGACGCATTAAACAAACTTGAATCTCTTAAGGGTCTCTATGTGCTAGACCTGTATCCCTAATCAAGCCTTCCAAAGGGCTCGTTTGAGCTCGTGAATATAATAATAACAAGTAATTTTGTTGAAGTGATTGTAGACTCGAGTCCTGCCTAAACCAAATATAGGCATAGAGCATGTTATATACAAACTAGCGACTCACCCTCGCTCCGCTCGGGTTCGTCTCTTCTTACGTTTTATTTATTTATTTGGTTTATCAAGTTGTACACGATACTCGATTACATACATATACAATGATATTTTACAGTTTGCAATTTATAATGATAAACACCGCATGCATAATGACAGGAAAAGTGGCGTTTGACAAAAAAAGGTAAATTTTAAATAAAATAATAAAAACAAAAATGACACGTCAGTAATAAAAAAAAGAAACAAAATAAAACAATAAAATAAAAAATAATAATACAAACAATACAAGATTTTTGTCTCACAGCTGGGTCTACTTCACAAACAGTAATATTTTTTTAATTTTACTAGGGGGATCGGAAAATATGTCGAATTCTCTTGCATAGTAATTAGCTAATCGACTAAGTCTCGGAATGGGTGAGTTAGCTCTAAGTACGGTTCTGCGAATGGGAAGTGAGAAAGGAGAGATGGAATTACGAGGACATCTTGATGGTACGTTAATGCGTAACTGTGCTAATATGTTGGGACAATGACTAAATGCGGTTATGATTTTGGAAACAAACTTTTTTAACGTTTAGTATAGATTTCTTAGAGATGAGAAATATTCCCGCAGTAAAAAGTATCCTATATGTTGAACCGGATAATCAGGTATCATCATACGAAATTTCATCAAAATCCGTCCAGTGGTTTTTCCGTGATGCGGTAACAGACAGACAGACGGACAGACTAAAATTCTAAAAACTATAGATTCGGCCTTTGTATCGATAAAAATGTCTATTTCAATAAAATAAAATAAAAATTATTTAATGTACAGATTCGGCTTAGATACAATTTTATTGTATGTATGGGTAATTATATCTATAGATTAGTGCATATTTAAAATTAGTCGATGATGTTCGCAGAGAACGCGACGAACCCTTACCAGGCGACGGTGTTTATCGGCGGGATGCAGTACGGCGTGGGGCAGGGCTCCAGCAAGCGCCAGGCCAAGTACGCCGCCGTCAAGGCCTCCATGCAGATACTCATCCCCGCGATGCGCAACACGCTGGACGCGCCGCCACCGCCCAAGCCCGAGCCCGACTTCTCCGTTAGTTACAGCTTCTTTTAGTTTCTTTTTCGAAATCAAATAGTATTACTGACGGTCTATGTTGAGAAGGCAAAATATTATTTTTTTTTCGATTTGAAAAAAATTGCAGTGTAAAAGTGGCCTAATCTGAAAATATATTAATTTCTCAGATATGAACGACCTCTAAACAATGAATAAAGCAATTTTGTTATTAATTATGCGTGTATGTGTTTGTGTGTTTGGTGCGTGCAGTTCTTCGACTACGTGGGCATCGAGGACCCGCGCATCGCGGAGTTCTGCGCCGCCACCTGCGAGCCCTCGCCGCACGCCATCCTGCTCACCTGCCTGCTGCGCAACTTCGGCGCCGGCGACTGGCAGGTGCTCACTGCTCCTCATTCTGTCACTACGATACCCCCACGCTTCATTCACTATACTCCCACGCTACCCTCACGATACCATAACGCTGCCTCTACGATACCTCCACGATACCTCCACGCTACCCTCACACTGCTCACCCTGTCACTACGATACCACAACGCTACCCCCACTATGCTCACTCAGTCCCTACGATATTCCCACGCTATCCCTACACTGCTATATTGCATTTTCGTTTTTTAAATTATAAGATTCAAATACTGTAAAGATTTTCTTTAATTTTTTTTGGCTGATTTGATTTAAAATTAAATTGAATTTTTCAATCAGTAGTTGAATTCATTACACTTATATATAATATTCACTGTACGACTTGATGTTTTAACACAATATTTTGTACAGCCTAAATGTGAGATGAAGAAGCTGGAGTACCAGAAAATCGAGCTGACGATGACGGTGGGCAAGCACACCGCCACCGTCGTCTGCAAGAACAAAAAAACCGCCAAGCAGCGCGCCAGCCAGGCCATCCTGCAGGTACACGATATTACTGCTTTCTATTAATAAAAAAAGTGTGAAATTGGCCGCCGTGGCTGAAACCGGTCGGGAGATTATTTCTGTAAGTCTAACATTACACTCTCATTTTCCTCTGTTACTGAGTAGTTCGAAACGTAAAACTTCTTCAATTTTTTTTAGGGAAACTTTTGTGTTCAAGTATATTTGAGCCGTTTCGAATCCTATACAGTATAGTTTGTGTCGTCGGCAGGCGCTGCACCCGCACGTGCGGTCGTGGGGCTCGCTGCTGCGGCTGTACGGCTCGCGCAGCGTGAAGAGCTGCAAGGAGAAGAAGCTGGAGGAGCAGCAGATCACACTGCTGCAGGACAAGGCGCGCCACAACGAGCCCAACCACGCCGTGCTCGCCAAGCTGCGCCAGGAGATGCGCAAGCTGCGCGCGCGTGACGCGGTGGTGGCGCCGCTGGGTGCGCTGCTGCACGCCGCGCGCCTTCCGCAGGCCTCCGCCTCCGGCCTCGACGCGCTCGAGCTCTGAACACCATCTCCCTATACACCCTCACAGACAGTTTCCAACCTTGAAGCCCTCTTCCGATTGTCATGCAAAAGTATGTATGGCAGTCGGTGCGCCTCACCTCGCACGCCCCGCACTATCCTGTCTGCGATATAATCGCAAAATTAGCTTAATTACTCATAGCACTAATTTATAAATTAACACATATTTATTTCGTCAACAAAATGAATGGGATAATATTCTATTTTACTTTCAATGTTACAAGTTAGTATATCAAAATAAAACTAATTAAATGTTTCATACTACGGAACCCTTGATGTGCGAGTCAGACTCGCACTTGTCCGTTTTGTTATTAGAATGTAATCATTATTATCTATTGACGTAATAACGTTTTCCTAATCTCAAAATGTTCTATTTATTTCTAACAATGAATCGACCATACAATCTTAAATAATAATAGCACAATCTATCTATACTAATATTACAAAGAGGTAAAGTTTGCGAGTTTATGAATTTGTGAGTTTGTGATGTTGTAGGGGGTAATCTCTGGATCCTGGAAATACTGAACCGATTTAGATTTAATTTGGTAAGAAGATAGTTTGAGACTACGAAGGGCAGAGGATACTTTTTACCCGGAAATATTCCCTTAAGAGGGTGAAAATGCGGATGAAAGTTTGTATGGGGTATCAAGCCACGGACGAACCCGAGCGAAGCGAGGCTGACGCGTTAGTATTTAATAAAGCAATTTCATTAAATATAAAAAATCTAACTTAATTTTTTTTAATGATTTTCATTTCTTAAAATCAGATTAAGTAACCAAACTAAGGTATTGCAGATAAGAAGTAAGTTTTAAGTTAGTTAAGTTACTACTTATATTTCCAGTGTAGTTCATTTTTTATATTTTTGTTTTAAAATTGCATTTTTTTATCCAGTCATTTTTTTGTTGTTTTAGTTAGTTTAATTAAAATTATGAAACTAGATAACAAATACTATACTGACAACAATACATAACTACTATACTTTAAATTAATTATTTGGATTAAGAATCTAAGAAAATCATAGAATATAATTAACGTTTCTAAAACAAAAAATGTAATTTCGACATAGAGCTAAGAAAGTACTACAACCAGTATTAAGATTTTCATATGTATACAATCTAAGTAGAATGTTTTTCAAATTTGAAAAGATTATTTATTATGTAATTCTTAATTTTTGATTAGGTGACAGATCCGACTTGGATAACGTAGGTTGAAATGGCTAAGTTTTCTCGTTAGGTCTTTTTTTTATTTCAAACCCAGAACCCCGAACGTCATAAATAAATATAATATTTTTAATGTGGACAAAGAAAAAAATTAATAGTGATGAGACAAACTGTGTCATCGCCGGTAATCCATACAATTTCTATTGAAAATTATACTTATATCATATTTTAATGAACACATATATCGCAAGTTGAGATTATTTTTTGTTAACTACTTACACTTACTAATGAACCTATCAATAATAAGTAAATGATTAATAATTAAAAATAATTAATTTCTATTACTTTACCATAGTCCATTCGCGATAAGAAAATAGTGAGTCATCAAGTGCAACGGCACAAAGTTGGAGTAAAAATTCAATTCAAATTCAATATTTTAAAAGATTAAGTTTAATGGTAAAAATCAACTCAAATATCTTACTTATCTCAAATCTTGATTTGAGATGATAGTGACTTTATTTTGATTTGAGATAATTAATCAACTTAATCATAATATCAAATCAAAATAAAGTCATCATATAATGATAATGACTTTATTTTGATTTTAGATAATAATTAAACTTTATTATCTTAAATCAAAATAAAGTCATCATATAATGATAATGAAGGCAGTGGTAGCCCAGTGGTAACACGCTCGCTTGGGAAACCGAATGAAGTGAGTTCAAATCCCGGGTCTCGCACCTCTGATATTTTCATGTGCGAATCATTTCCAACATGATTACCACTTGTCTTAACGGTGAAGGAAAACATCGTGAGGAAACCTGCATGTCTGAGAGAACCTAGCAAGTTTTCAAAAGACATGTGAAGTCCGCCAACCCGCACTTGGCCAGCGTGGTGGACTATGGCCTGATTCCCCTCGTGCTGAAGGGAGGCCCGTGCCCAGCAGTGGGACGTTAAAAAGGGCTGAATACATAATGATAATCACTTTATTTTGAATTGAGATAATTAATGAGCATAATTATCTCAAATGAAATTAAAGTCAATAATGTATTTAAGTCTGCCTTAATTGGTAATTGTGAAATATGACTTTACAATTTTATGCAATCTAATTGGTCGGGGGGCGTGGCTAGGCCGATGGACACCGATGACTCACTATTTTTTTAACGCGAATAACCTATAAGTCTATGGTTCAATCTGCGCTTCAAAAAAGATGTCTTAAATCTGACCAATCAGTGACTGTTTTACAATTTAACGGCTTTATCTAGTGAAATTGTGAAAATTTCATTGATTTACAATATCACTGAATGTGCTTAGGAAAATTATAATATAACTAAAAATGTTCCGTGATATTGTAAGAACAGAGGTTGATTGACATTACTCCGGGAAATTATAATATCACTAGGTAACACGGTTTTTACAATTTCGTTGCCACATATGCACATACACTACCGTAGGTTCAATCTCGTATCTAAGACATAAAAGAAATTAAAAAAATATATATAAACACAACGTATTTTGCGTGCTCAAAGCATCAATATTTCCTTATTTTTGTTCACAATTTTTATCTATACTAATATTATAAAGAGGTAAAGTTTGTGATATTGTGAGTTTGTGGGTTTGTGAGTTTGTGGTGTGGGTAATCTCTGGATATGGTAGGACCTCGGTCTACAATTATCATCTTAGTTTTACTGCGGTTAATCTTTAATCCAAATCCATTTATTACAGCTAAATACCGCCGTTTCATACACTATTAGTTACTACATACATATTTGTCTTTTTGTGACAAAAAATGCCAATTAAGAGTAATTTAGTGTGTTAAGATTGACAGGCAAAAATATATCTTTAATATTTATTAATGACTATCAATAACAATAAGTATGTATATGACTCTTTCTTAGATTTACGCGAATATTTGACAGTTTAAATAAAACTATCTTTTCGGATTTTTTTCGCGGATTTATTTTGATTTTTGGTTCCCGACGTTTCGAATGTTTTGCAGCAATCATGGTCACGGAAGAGTCTCTCTTGAAAAAATCCGAAAAGATAGTTTTATTTAAAATATGTATATGAATTTGTAAATCATTGTTTTGTAGTATTTAGTTGGTAATTGTTTTATTTTTCAAAGATGGTTCCCTCTGCATTTGGAGAGTAGAGGTAAGAAGACTTTAGAGACTTAACTCTTTTACTACTACATCTCTCAAAATAATGACTATTTTATAGCAATTAATAGATTTAATGTTTATCTGGCAACTAAGTCAACATTTTTTTTGTTAAGTTCTAATTTTATTATGTTTTTTGTATGTCTTTTTTTGTTATGTTATAATGACCGACACGCAACTTGAACGTCCTTGACCTCACAGTAGTGGATATTTAGGTATTACGGCGTATAATTTGACCGCGCTCTTCTTCACAACTCGCCATCTTTACTTTTTCAACCGACTTCCAAAAAGGAGTTATTTGAGGGTATATTTAATAAATAGCATACCATATGGTGGTTCCATGTAAATAAAAAAAAAACATTCTACTCTCTATGTGTGGAATAATTACGAGTGATTTTGAATCATTTCGAAGTCTGTACCTTTTTTAGTAAAAACTGTTACTCAAGTTGTTTGCAGCTCATTATAAAATATGTATTATATGAGGATATTGATAACGAAATCTATACATATAATAAAATTGTAACTAAGCCGAATCTGTACATTAAATATTTTTTGGAAAGTCTTATTGAAACAAACATTATTATCGATACAGAGGCCAAATCTATAGTTTTAAGAATTTTTGTCTGTCTGTCTATCTGTCTATCTGTTACCGCATCACATAAAAACCACTGGAGGGATTTTGATGAAATTTGGTATGGTGATAGCTGGTTATCCGGGTCAACATATAGGATACCTTTACTGCGGGAAAATGTCTCAGTTCTGAGAAAAAATACAAAAAGTGCAATGTAAGAGTATACTAATATGTAAAACCTAAGGATTTGGTTTTTGGTCATCTGAACGAGGGCGGAGCTGCGGGCAATGCTAGTCTCAACTAAAAATGTACGAATAGATGAGCTTCCGTCACTAGCGATTTAAATTAAAAATGGAAAATATTTTTATGGTATCTTGTGCGGTAGACAGTACTTAGGGTAAGTCAAAATTATCAATGTATCAATAATCAATCGTGTGTCCAAAATAAATGAAACAAGTATAATATTTGTTTTATTTTAATTTTAATTTCGAGTATTTTTGTTATTACCATGTACATATATACAATAGTTCACTTAAAACTATGGGGAATCATTAAATAGGAATTTTTATAATATCATGAATTATAATTTATAACCTAATATTTAAATCTATATTTATTGTTTGTACAGAAAGTTGGTGGTTGGTTGTTTGGAATGTGGGGTTTTTTATGGTATAACTATAAAGAACTTAACAAAAAATTAAATAATAATACTAGGTTAAAGTTAGTAAAAGCGTGTCAGCGCCATAGCTGCCAGCCCGGGTAGCGGCTCTCGCTCACAGACAGCACGTTGGACACTCCTTCCTCTTGGTTCACTTGATATGGTGACTGGTAAAACGTAAATTCATTAGTTATACGTTGTTTCGTGCTAAAGATATTGGTTTTTAATAATTTGATTTGCTTTTGATACTTTTTCGAATGCATAAACTATTTTAAATGCTTATGTCTGATTTCTGAATATGTGTACGTAATATTACGCTAAAAATGTTAAAAGTATGCAAACAATGAATGTTTTAATATATAATAATACTGCAAAAAATGTCTTGGCTTTGAAAAGAATAGGCTAAGGAAATGCAAATAGCACTTGGCCAGCGTGGTGGGCTATGGTCTGACCCCTTCGTGAAGGGTAGCTCGTGCCCAGCAGTGGGACGTTAAAAAGGGCTGAATACATACGGCCGTGCCGCCCGCCAGCCAGCGCCGCTTAATGAAGTCGGCGGCGCGCTCGCCGATCATGACGACGGGCGCGTTGGTGTTGCCCGCCGTCACCGCCGGCATCACGCTCGCGTCCGCCACGCGCAGCCGGTCGATGCCTTGCACCTTTATAACATATTATATAATTAGCAGTTTTATATTTATAAATATTCTTAATAAAAGTAATTTTACATCTTTATCCTCTGAGGGAATCCGTTTCCGTAATAATGGAGTTTAGTTTACAAGTTCAATCAAAACGATGCTTTGTGCTACAGTAATTAAAATAATAAAAAGGTCTTAATACAAACGACTTTGTGCCTTTTGTATTTATAATATAACATACAGATAGCGCTACCTTTTGGCAAATTTTATTATTAGTAGTCTATTTATTTCTCTAGCTATCTGTGTACTAAACATCCAAATCTGTCGAGCCATTTCAGCGAGAAGGACGAACAATCACACATACTCGCAATTATAATAGTAAAATGATAAAACAACATTGTAATTTTTTTTAACAATATTTTTAATAAAAATACATTTAAATAACAATTAGGTATGTTATCACTGTCCCGTTTTCTTTTAAATACTTTGAGGTAAGGCCTCAGACATGCTAAATTCCCAAATTTAAGAAAAAAAGCAAAAGTCACCTGCAGTAAATTGTCAACGACCGCAGTGGGGTCTCCCCTGGGGCCCATCTTGCAAGAGCCGGCCTGGTGGTTCTCCGGCGCCGTCTGCATCCGCACCGCGCACTCCCAGTACGCGTCACACCCGAACTTGAGCTTTTCACATCCCTTCACTGGCGTCTTGTCTAACTTCATGCCGTACTTTTTGAGAGCTTTCGTCTCTGATAGCTTGATTGCAAATTTAATGCCTTCTATTAATGTCTTTACGTCATCCGCGTGTGTGAGGTAGCTGGAATGATAAAGAGCTTGTTAGTTTTTGTTAAAATATTTGTTGGTTTTTAATAATGAAATTAGTTATTACCTACAACATAATATTTATTAATTCAATATATTTTACGATGATATTTCTAATATTTCATCGAGTCGATATGTCTAGATACCATCCAGATGGTAGATAAAATTGTTAAAGAATCGAATCTATCTGATAGTAGTAAATACCATATATACTCTTATTATCATAATGCATCTAATTACTTGGCATATATCTTGGGGTAGGCAAATGGATCAGCACTAGCAATTTCCAGCCGCCCCCTGCTCTTGGGGTGCAGCACCGCCGGGAACATCTGCACGCTGCGAGAGCCATCGCCCAGCTTCTCGCCCACCATGCCGGTCTTGGCGCAGTCCGCTAGGAAACCCGAGAAGAACAGTTGGATATCTGGGTTGTCTTCATTAGGGTCTGCATATTTGGTCTTGATGAATGCTGTCACTTCAGAAATACCTGGAATTTCGTTTAAAATTGTTGATTGTTATCTGGGCGAAGGCAGACGTTATATGACACGCGTTTTAGTTTCATTCCTGCTATGTTAAAACAGTAGTCTTAAAATTTACCATTTTATGTTTTCATAAAGTATAATTAATACAAGAGTTTCGTCGAAAATCAAAGCTACCGGCTTCTGTACTGTATGTACGGTATGTCAGATAAGTTATAACGATCGTTACTGTGCCGCATTAAAAAAGATACTCGATGAAGAATGAAGTAATAAAAATGAATACAAATGAGAAAGATCGTTTCCTTTCATTTGCTTCCGCGTATATAATGTAGAGAACATTAATTCTTTGGTTATAGTTGTGCAATAAAAGTAATTAAAATATTATGGTTTGAAAATAGTATTATTTTATTTAATTTAAATTGTTATTATTATAATATTACATAAGTACGAGTATATTTCCTGTATGATGAACTCGTTGATGTCTTTTATGTTGAAAAATCGAATATATGTAACTTTTAATCCATTATTTCAAATTTACATTATATTACAGCTTTGTTAGATGATCTCGTCATAATTTTAATAGAAAACATAAAATCATAACAGTTCATTGATTTTAGTGAATTTTTAATTAACATACCAGTTCCAGACATTAATCCATCTCTGAATAGCAGATATTCCATGGCAGTGGCCCAGTTGAGCGGGGCAGTGTTATTGTCATTGACATGGAAGTTTAGGAAGTGGGCGACGTGGTTGTGCAGGTTACGTCCGACGGCGGGCAGCTTGTGCACGAGGCGCACTCCCGCGCGTGATAGCACCTCCGGGTCGCCTATACCACTGTGCTGAAGGATTTGAGGAGATGCCACTGCTCCCGCACTGAAATTTTGTACGTAAATATTTTTATTTACACAAAAAAATTACAGTGAAGTTACATATACTTAATAATACAAATGTCAACTTAATAAATACTATATAAGACATCTGTCTAGATTTACGGCAAAAACGCTAACACTGTATTCAGTGCTGAGTGGCAATGCTGATTCTTTAAGCGAATAACGAGCGAGCGAGGTGTTACGAGTATATCTTACTCGTATAAGATTTTTTTAGTACTTTGACTCTATTTTTAGATTGAAAGTAATAATTATATAATTGATTGTACCTAATCTAATCTCTTTACACATATTATATGATACTTAGCATGATGTAAAATATTTTTTTTACGAAAATATACAAATGTTCTTTACCTTAAAACAATTTCATTATTTGCGAATATAACTTCAGTGCCACCAAAGCTGTTCCTCACTTCAACCGCGTAAGCTTGTCTTGTTGTTTGGTTAATGAGAATCTTGGTAACCGTGGCGTTGAGCATTATATGGAGATTAGGACGGTGTTTGACCGGTCTGAGGAAGGCGCGCGCGACGCTGAGACGAGACCCGTTGCGATTTGTCGTTTGAGCAATGGAAAAGCCAGTGTGATGCTCACCGTTTAAATCTCTTACTTGGAATCCTAGAAAATATAAGTGAAACTTCAATATAACTTTTCATGCACAAAAAATATATTGTACTCTATGTCACTCTCGGGGCACAATCGCTACGAATAAAATTATGTTAATTTATTGATGCACTCATTTATTGCTATCGCATATATTATGTATAATATTATAATATTACAAAATAATTGTATATTTGGTTGGGCTCCTTTTATAGAAAACAGCACATGAGAGATTTTAAAGTATTTCAAAGAATACTTTTTAATTCAAGCTGAGTTTAATAGGTTTTGAAAGTGTAAAATTTGATAGCTACCTAATTCCTCTCCAGCTTTAATAATACTGTAACTTAAAGGTGGGTGGTACGGGAACTGTGAGACCGTCAGTGGTCCGCCGGTAGCATGGTAACCTTTGTCCATTTCCTCTATCTGTTTGTTATCTTCGGATTTTAGGAAGTAAGGTAAGACTTCTTCGTAAGACCAGCCTTCATTGCCGGCGGCTGCCCAGTCGTCGTAGTCCTTGCGGGAACCTCGAATGTACATCATACCGTTCATAACTGACGTACCACCCAGCACCTGCAATTGTAATGTGTAGGTCATATCAAATAATTTTGATCGTGATTAGAGAGATAGTATATAGTTGATAGATTGCCCATAATTTTACTCGATCATTACAAATCTTCTCAAATTTACCTTTCCTCTTGGCCAGTAACATTTTCTATCCTTTTCCCCAAGACAGGCGGCCGGCTCTGGCTCTGTGTGATAACCCCAGTCAATACTCGATCCAATAAAGTTAAGAAACATTGACGGCACCTGAGCTCCCGTTGGTTCATCAAAACCTGGACAGAAAGTAGATAAGATAGAGATATTTTTAAATAAAACAATCTTATAGGATTTTTTTGCTCATTTATTTTGATTTTTAGTTTCCGAAGTTTTGATTGGTTTATAACAATTATGGTCATGAGAGAGATATTTTTTAGCTTCATTTAAAAAAAATCAACCATTAGTTTTATAGAAATGATGATGATGATATTTTCCTGACTGATTCCGGCCACGGCGGCCAATCTTATTGAGACTAGCCAACTGCGCAGGAGATATTATAGTGTACAAGTATACGCGCAGACACAAGTGCACTCTCTATTCCTGTCACTCTCATACTCTGGTGGGAAGACCACTCGACACGACCAGTGAGAATTAAGGCGCAGGACCGATGGCTTTACGTGCTGTTCGAGGCACGGGGGTGAAACACCGCCAACTTCCTTACTTCGGGCTGTTACTGAGGCTTACTATACAGAAAGACTCAATAACTTAAATTGGCCCGACCTGGGACTCGAACCCAGGACCTCCGGATGTGCAGCCGTACATGCTAGCCACTACACCACCGAGGCATTTGTTATTTATAGAAATAAATATAATTTGAATATTATAGAGATTGACAATTCACATTACATATTATTAACTTTTATTGCAATTAAAAGATAATAGCATTTTAAACAAAAAAAGTGGTTTTATTTTGTTCTTCCACTTTGTTATATTCAAAAGAAATTTTCAGACCTGCTTCCAATAATAGCACTCTCCATTCCGGAACTTCTGAGAGACGGGACGCAATCACAGACCCCGCTGATCCTCCACCTATTACTATGAAGTCATATACTGAGTCCATGTTCCGGCGGTACTGTAAATTTGAGAAATTATGATAACAATAAATAAATAATAAATAAATATGTTGGGACATTCATACACAGCACCATCTAGTTCCACGGTAAGCTACGAGGCTTATGTTATGGATACCAGATAGTTGATACACTACATATATATAACTTTAAATACATACATATTATTAAATAAAACTATCTTTTCGGATTATTTCGCGGATTTATTTTGATTTTTGGTTCCCGACGTTTCGAATGCTTTACAGCATCCATGGTCACGGGAGAGACTGAGGTGTTACATGTCTTAAAGATATAGTTGTTACAGACAGCCTACCCACAATTAACAAAATGAAAATTGCACCAATTACATTACAATATTTTAACTTTAAACATTTTTATAATTTTAATTATAATTGAATATGGAAAATTATTTATTTAATTTTTGCTATTATTTTTATAATTATTACAATTTTAAAATATTAATTAGTAATCTATATTTAGTGTTGCCATTATTATATTTATAACCATAAAGAAAAATATAAAATATAGTATTAATTATTTAAGCCATATAATTGTTCAATGTGTAATTTAAAAAGTTAAAATTAATTAAGGATTATAATTTTAATTTAGTTTGCTATTATTTAAAACAACTTACTAAGCAACACTATTAATATATACTTTTACAAATGAAAAATGAAAATTTATTATATATATATATATATATATATATATATATATTAATGTAGTAATTTCATTTTTCATTTGTAAAAGTATATATTAATAGTGTTGCTTAGTAAGTTGTTTTAAATAATAGGAAACTAAATTAAAATTATAATCCTTAATTAATTTTAACTTTTTAAATTACACATTGAACAATTATATGGCTTAAATAATTAATACTATATTTTATATTTTTCTTTATGGTTATAAATATAATAATGGCAACACTAAATATAGATTACTAATTAATATTTTAAAATTGTAATAATTATAAAAATAATAGCAAAAATTAAATAAATAATTTTCCATATTCAATTATAATTAAAATTATAAAAATGTTTAAAGTTAAAATATTGTAATGTAATTGGTGCAATTTTCATTTTGTTAATTGTGGGTAGGCTGTCTGTAACAACTATATCTTTAAGACATGTAACACCTCAGTCTCTCCCGTGACCATGGATGCTGTAAAGCATTCGAAACGTCGGGAACCAAAAATCAAAATAAATCCGCGAAATAATCCGAAAACATAGTTTTATTTAATAATGTCAAACATTCGCGTAAATCTAAGAAAGTATTACATACATATTATAAATATAAACACCCATAATTGGAGTACAAACATTCATGCTCATCCACAAGTGAATGCCCCCAGCGGGACTCGAACCCGCGACCTGGCACAGCAAGTAGGGTCTCTACAAACTGAGCCAAAATGTCGTCAAAAATAGGAAGCGGTAAAAGCAAACAATCGATACATTCATATCTACCGAATGTTACTATATGGTACTATTGTATAATCCCCCCCAACGTGCGTTCACCTTGTCGTGGTGGGGGGGCTCAGTAGTGCCCGGCAACCCAACCGGGCGCGAAGCCAAGAAACGCACAGGGAGGTGGTCCACTTCGGTGGGCGGTGGGAGGTGGCCCTCTTCGGAGGGCAGTGTACCATGCGGGTTGCTCCTGGTACTTCTCTGATAGCAGAGTGGACTGTGGAGCAACCCCGTGGTTGTTGTGGTCTGCTTCGGCAGACCTGCCGTCGGGGCGTCGTAGTTGAATGCGTAAGCGATCCTGCGATGCCCTACTAAGACGGGGGAAGGTTTTGTTGGGTTTTAGTGGGTAGTACTGGCTTTGCCGGTGAGTCCCACACCTCGTGCGTAAATGCATTTCCCAACGTTAAAAAAAAAAAAAAAATGGTACTATTGTATAATACAATATGTTGGCATTTTATTGTGCCGTCATAAACTGATCTTAAACAGTAAAGATCTGTTGAAGATCAGTTTATGACGTTACATTAAACAAAATCTAGCTTAATATATGATGAATTTCGCAATTTATTTCCGCACAGACATTTTCCGGTGATTGTTAAATTTGTTTCAGATGATAAAAGCATTCGTAATAATGCAATTTATAACTACGTACATGTAATTATACATCACACATTCAAAAGCTGTGAATTCACACGATAATCAGTATCAGATTGCTTTGAAATCGTGGTTGTAAAACTATCGAACGAGTAAGATAATAAATATTTATTCAAGTTCCACTTTTTGTTGCAAACCAAACAATGGGTAAACAATGGGAACTAAATTATAAAAATAAGACTTTAAATTTTATAGTTGGATCCAGTTATGCAAAAAACGGCCATGTGCGTAAAAGTACCAATAGAGTTATAAGCATTTTTCTGTCGATAGTTGCTCTTGGGTTATGTTTTGTTTTTCTGGTTATTTTAAAATTGAACAATATTTATATAAGTATTTTTTATTTTTTATAATGATTTTATTTTTATAATAAAATGCTTATAACTCTGTAGGTACTTTTACACACATGGCTGTTTTTTGCATAACTGGGTCCAGTTCACAATTCTATACTTATATATTTATTTATGTTCTTGGACCAACATTTAAGTAATACGTTAACCTTGAATAGCGTAGAAATAAACCTACCATGTATAAGTAAAAGTAACAAATTTTTAATATAAATATCTAATAAATCACTTCTTATCGAGAAATCATAAACAAATCATTATATCTGTAAAGACAGGATAAAATTACTTTATAATTTATGCCTGCCTGCTTTATTCTGTAAAATATTGGTATAATTTCCATAAAATTTACCTAACAATTACGACATCAAGCAACAAAAGGTAAAGTCGTTAGGTGCCTCCGGCTGATTTCTGCGCAGAGCTGCCTTTTGCAAGTGTTACAGTTCATTTTACAATATTAGAACAGGTCACAAGTCACTCTACGCAATAGTTCCGGTTGCTTTAGTTTATTCGTAGCTTTGAGCGCGTTGAAGTCTTTTGCTTGACACAGGTAATATATTTTTTGGGATTTCGATATATTTTCTACTTTGAAAGTATGGTATTATTTAGTATCTAAAATAATGTAAAATGTATGTGATAGTACAACATAATATTATTTGATAGAGTAAGACTCAGTATTTTTAATTTCTAGGAAAGAAATAGAAGGTGTAAAGTCTATGTTTGAAATAAAAATTTATAATCATACCTGAGCTCTCCCACAAGGATCTTCCAAATCGCACTGACTTCTAAGAAACACCTCGAGCAAGCCCATGAAAAGCATGAAGGCGCCGCCACCGCATGTGGCGGCCAACGTCGGTCCCGGCTGAGTCATCGGGCAGTTGCAAGTTATCGCCATCTAGACCAAATGACGTACATACAAACATATAATTATCATAATTTTTATGATATTTCAGCATACTTTATATCTACCTTATGTAGCTTTACTGTGGCTTATATACTATAATTTTTCTTTAATAAATAATTGTTTTAGTCGGTATTGTAATTTTTTTTCGTGTTACGAGTATATGCTTAAATTTTGGCAATAACATATTATAGTAATTGTTACAAAAATAGCAATTAACTAACGTAATAATAGACAATAATGAAAAACCACAATTTAGAACAATATATACACTCAGTGCATCCGATTAAATATGAACTATATCATATTTTTATTTCAGATGATGACTTCACAAATAAACTTTCAAGACGTTTAGGCAATAAGTTTGGAAAATACCTTATTTAGTGAGCTGAAAGCTCATTGGTTAAATATGGAAATATTTAAAAAAATATCATGCGTCTGGATTCAGTGGAGTAGATTGTATTGTGCCAGTCACTGTTAAAAGTGTTAAGAAGTTTTAAAATAATAATATTATTTTTTATATAATACTAGCGACTCACCCTCGCTCCGCTCGGGTTCGTCCCTAATGTGGGCCACCCTTATCACTTAGGGGTATGGAAAATAGATAGTAGCCGATTCTCAGACCTACTGAATACGCATATAAAATTTGGTAAAAATCGGTAAAGCCGTTTCGGAGGAGTACGGTAACTAACATTGTGACATGGAAATTTTATATATTAGAATACATATATTATTTGAATTATCTATATATTTTATATATATATATATATATATATATATATATATATATATACATTTAAAGCGTTGATTATATAAGGTGGAATCGATAACGTTCTAGTTATCTGTTTCTACGAACTCAACCACATTCACATGTTACAGCATATTTATTACACATCGACATACATGTACACATTTATATAAGTAGTTATAAAATCTGCTAACCTCTGTCCTTGTATGTCATGGACCAGATATAATCTGTCACTTCGAGGCTAACTTTCATAACTTTAGGACTATTTATTATAAATCTGCCGCAGGCGACACTTAGTAAAGTAGCTTAAAGAGTGTTCATATTAGGTCCCAGCTCGTCGTATTCTTATTAGGTAGTGCTTAGAAGTAATTTACGAATACTAGTTTAATTAATAGGAAAATTAAGCTCGTTGAAATTATTCAAAAGCCGTGTCCATGATTTCGATAAAATTTGGCAAGGATTAAGATTGCGTCCTGGGGAGTGACATAGGCTACCTTTCCCCGCCTCAGCGGGCAAAGACCAGTATTATTAAACATAAATTAGATATAACTGAACATTTTTAACGTGTGATATAATAAAGGCTATTAAATAATGAAAGCTCCATAGAACCTACTATCTACTAATTTAGTCGCGACAATGACTTTGAATTTGAATTCTTTGCAGCACTTGACCTAGCTACTGCATTTACTTGTCAACTGACAGTATACTGTGCGATAGTGTCTCTGTGCTATATTAGAGTTAACTTTTATAATTATCTGCGGTGAAGTTTTTAAATTTAAAATGAAACTTTTTTCTCTGATGTATCATGGTTTTATTTAGCTTTTTGTTTCTGTTTCGAATGCTTTATAGCAAATATAGTCACGGTAGAGACTTCGATTTTTGTCGTCTTATATGTTCTATATTGTTAAAAACCGAACAAAAAGAGCTACTTTTTAAATAGTTAAAATATTCGTATGAATCTAAGAAAGTACTCTATTGATTTTATTTTTATATTACGCCTATTATTTAACATAGAATTTATTATATTTTAATATATTATAATTACAATAAGTACTATTAACGATGTACTTGAATCCCTAATAGGATTAAAAAGTTTTTGGTTTTTAAATACATTATTTCTGATGAAATTCACGTTTATATGTCCTGGAATATCAATGATATAAGTTGTATTGTCTTGTTTATGTAATGAAGTAAACAAATATAGAGGTCAACATGATTTTAACAAAAAAACTCTTTTATACATTCAGTTAAGTTTTTATAAAATTTTTATAAGACTTCAATACTTGTAAGTCATTTTGTTTTCATTTATCGATATTCTAAAATATATTAAGTTTATTTTTAAATTTAATCAGATAAATGGGAGTGAAATACACGTGTATGCCAAAATATATAAAAATCTTTACTGTGCATCAAACTCACGATCTACACGCAGTAAATGCTAATTAGAGACGATAACACTGTGCATGAGTACTTTCATCCTACATTATAGAGCCTTCACATAAACATATCATCAATTTCTTGTTATTGTTATTTACCATAGGCAGTATCTTCTCTTCTACTAGTGACCATTTACAAGTCGATCAATTTTGATTAAGCGATAATATACAGAGTTGCTTAGTTTAGGTCTGTACAAGTAAGTGCAGTGTTTACTCGCAAGGCCAAATCTGTTATTAAGATAGTCATAATGCTATACTTGCTTGGGTGCGTATTGAGGGCCTTTATGGTGCTATTATAATCTACCTTAGATATGATTTGTAATATAAATATTTTTGACTGATTTCAAAGGTACCTAGAGGTATTTTTCTCGTATGTGTAGGTTTCTTTTTGTGTCACGTGATGTCTTTACCTATTGAGAAGTTATTTTAATGATTGGGTGGACCCAAATTTTAAAGAAAAAGATACTCTTTGAGAATGATTAATTATTACTTTAAAAATAGTTAAAAAGTTAATGTCAGAAGTAATTGAAAAATTGAAGAGTATACAGTGCATACGCATACCGTACGCATTTTAACTTTAATACAGATAGGGTAATGTAATAAAATAAAAATGCGTATGGTAAATGACATATAGGCAGTGGTAGCCCAGTGGTAACGCACTCGCTTGTGAAACTGAGTGAAGCGGGTTCAAATCCCGGGTCTCGCACCTCTGATATTTTAATCATTTCTAACATGTTTACCACTTGCCTTACGGTGAAGTAAAAATGAGAGAACCTAGGAAGTTTTCCAAAGACATGTGAAGTTCGTCAACCCGCACTTGGCCATGTTGGGTCACCAAATAATAGATATATATATGTATATATATATATATATATATATATATATATATATATATATATATAAATACATACAGACGAACATAAACCTCCTCTTTTTTGGAAGTAGGTTGAAAGTTAAATTATTTTTATAAAGTTTAGAGAAAATCATTACAATTTATAATAGCTTTACATTCAGTGGCACATAAACGTAGCAATTTAAGAAGTAATTAATTGACGGAAACGGAATAACTTAATAGGGGATAAGAATATGTAGAGCACAGTAATTATTAGACACTAGCGATATACCACTACTCCGTTTAGGTCTGGAATATATACATTTAATATCTATACAAAACAATGAGGTGCAAAAAAATCTGATGATAAAAATAAAACCCCTTTACTTCCTTAATATAAAATATCACAATTTGTTTTTTACAAATATGCTTTAAATATTTCTTATTAATTGCTCGTAAAAATATTATAATAATTTCAATATAGATTAATTTATAAATAATAAAAAAAATACAATGATGTAGTTCATGTTATAAAAAGATTACCTGTCCTTTACCGATTTCATAAAGGTTAAAAATTCCACTGTAAATCTATATAGATGAATAATTTTGAAACCAAAGTTTAAATTAACAATAAACCTATGTTTTCTAGAAAATATTTTACTACTAAAATTTGAATAAATAAATAAATAATATTTATATTAACTTTGAAGTCAGCGTTATTCCATTACATTTATTTTATATAAAGTTTTAAAACAGAAATATTAATTTTGTACGTTTCAATAGTTTAATCTAATGTAGTAGTTATCGGGTCATACAACTGGTTCTATGACTCGGTAACAGAACATAAAATGTAACTATCACATCTAAATACGTTTTTTGTTAAACGGTGAAGCAATCATCAATTATCGCATGCGATAAATAAAACGCAGCCTACATTTAGTCGATATCTTTCATCTAACAACGTTTCAATAGATAACATGACACTTATTCAGAGTAGGTATAGTTTAGTTTGTGACTGTTATTCATTAGGTTGTTTACTAGTTTTTGTTCATGACTGTACTTGGATATTAGTTAGAATAATATAATGATTAACTGCCTCGGTGGTGTAGTAGCTAGCATGTACGGCTGCACACCCGGAGGTCCTGGGTTCGAGTCCCGGGTCGGCCCAAGTTTAGTTATTGAGTATTTCTGTATAGTAAGCCTTAGTAACAGCCCGGAGTTGGGAAGTTGGCGGTATTTCACCCCCGTACCTCGGAGAGCACGTAAAGCCGTCGGTCCTGCGCCTTAACTCTCACTGGTCGTGTCGAGTGGTCGTCCCACCAGAGTATGAGAGTGACAAGAATAGAGAGTGCACTTGTGTATGCGCACACACTTGTGCAATATAATATGTCCCGCACAGTTGGCTAGTCTCAATAAGATTGTGCGCCGTGGCCGGAATCGGTCAGGAGAACATCATCATCATCATAATGATTAACATAAAACATAATGTAATAGGCAGTGGCAGTCCAGTCGTAACTTGCTTGCTTAGAAATTCATGTAAAGCGGGTTCAAATCCAGAATCTCGTTTTCTGTAATATTATCTCATTTTCAATATGATTACCGCTCGGTATTAAAATACGGTATTAAAATTTCATCAGAGTTAATTGTATCATTGTATAAATATACTATAAATTGTTTTATAATGTCCCAATATATCATATAATAAATAAAAATTAAAAAAATAGTTATTTTATCAATACTTTTTATAATTTTTTAGCCAGATTTATACATAAACTATTTCATCTATACTAATATTAAAAAGTTTGTGAGTTTGTGACACTGTAGGGGGTAATCTCTGGATCAACTAAACCGATTTAGATGAAATTTGGTAAGAAGATAGTTTGAGGCCTGGTGGCCCATAGGATATTATCTTTTAGATTTATCTCGGGAATCATGCCTTAGGAGGTTGAAGATG